GACCCATAAACTGACACAACAACAGACCCATAAACTGACACAACAACAGACCCATAAACTGACACAACAACAGACCCATAAACTGACACAACAACAGACCCATAAACTGACACAACAACAGACCCATAAACTGTAGGGACACAACAACAGACCCATAAACTGACACAACAACAGACCCATAAATTGACACAACAACAGACCCATAAACTGACACAACAACAGACCCATAAACTGACACAACAACAGACCCATAAACTGACACAACAACAGACCCATAAACTGACACAACAACAGACCCATAAACTGACACAACAACAGACCCATAAACTGACACAACAACAGACCCATAAACTGACACAACAACAGACCTATAAACTGACACAACAACAGACCCATAAACTGACACAACAACAGACCCATAAACTGATACAACAACAGACCCATAAACTGACACAACAACAGACCCATAAACTGACACAACAACAGACCTATAAACTGACACAACAACAGACCCATAAACTGACACAACAACAGACCCATAAACTGACACAACAACAGACCCATAAACTGACACAACAACAGACCCATAAACTGACACAACAACAGACCCATAAACTGACACAACAACAGACCCATAAACTGTAGGGACACAACAACAGACCCATAAACTGACACAACAACAGACCCATAAACTGTAGGGACACAACAACAGACCCATAAACTGATACAACAACAGACCCATAAACTAACACAACAAAAGACCCTATAAACTGTAGGGACACAACAACAGACCCATAAACTGACACAACAACAGACCCATAAACTGACACAACAACAGACCCATAAACTGACACAACAACAGACTCATAAACTGACACAACAACAGACCCATAAACTGACACAACAACAGACCCATAAACTGACACAACAACAGACCCATAAACTGTAGGGACACAACAACAGACCCATAAACTGACACAACAACAGACCCATAAACTGACACAACAACAGACCCATAAACCGACACAACAACAGACCCATAAACTGACACAACAACAGACCCATAAACTGACACAACAACAGACCCATAAACTGACACAACAACAGTCCCATAAACTGTAGGGACACAACAACAGACCCATAAACTGACACAACAACAGACCCATAAACTGACACAACAACAGACCCATAAACTGACACAACAACAGACCCATAAACTGACACAACAACAGACCCATAAACTGACACAACAACAGACCCATAAACTGACACAACAACAGACCCATAAACTGACACAACAACAGACCCATAAACTGTAGGGACACAACAACAGACCCATAAACTGACACAACAACAGACCCATAAATTGACACAACAACAGACCCATAAACTGACACAACAACAGACCCATAAACTGACACAACAACAGACCCATAAACTGACACAACAACAGACCCATAAATTGACACAACAACAGACCCATACACTGACACAACAACAGACCCATAAACTGACACAACAACAGACCCATAAACTGACACAACAACAGACCTATAAACTGACACAACAACAGACCCATAAACTGACACAACAGACCCATAAACTGACACAACAACAGACCCATAAACTGTAGGGACACAACAACAGACCCATAAACTGACACAACAACAGACCCATAAACTGACACAACAACACACCCATAAACTGTAGGGACACAACAACAGACCCATAAACTGATACAACAACAGACCCATAAACTAGCACAACAAAAGACCCATAAACTGTAGGGACACAACAACAGACCCATAAACTGACAAAACAACAGACCCATAAACTGTAGGGACACAACAACAGACCCATAAACTGTAGGGACATAACAACAGACCCATAAACTGACACAACAACAGACCCATAAACTGTAGGGACACAACAACAGACCCATAAACTGACACAACAACAGACCCATAAACTGTAGGGACACAACAACAGACCCATAAACTGACACAACAACAGACCCATAAACTGACACAACAACAGACCCATAAACTGTAGGGACACAACAACAGACCCATAAACTGATACAACAACAGACCCATAAACTGACACAACAACAGACCCATAAACTGACACAACAATAGACCCATAAACTGTAGGGACATAACAACAGACCCATAAACTGACACAACAACAGACCCATAAACTGACACAACAACAGACCCATAAACTGTAGGGACACAACAACAGACCCATAAACTGACACAACAACAGACCCATAAACTGACACAACAACAGACCCATAAACTGTAGGGACACAACAACAGACCCATAAACTGACACAACAACAGACCCATAATCTGTAGGGACACAACAACAGACCCATAAACTGACACAACAACAGACCCATAATCTGTAGGGACACAACAACAGACCCATAAACTGTAGGGACACAACAACAGACCCATAAACTGATACAACAACAGACCCATAAACTGACACAACAACAGACCCATAAACTGACACAACAACAGACCTATAAACTGACACAACAACAGACCCATAAACTGACACAACAACAGACCTATAAACTGACACAACAACAGACCCATAAACTGACACAACAACAGACCCATAAACTGACACAACAACAGACCCATAAACTGACACAACAACAGACCCATAAACTGTAGGGACACAACAACAGACCCATAAACTGACACAACAACAGACCCATAAACTGTAGGGACACAACAACAGACCCATAAACTGTAGGGACACAACAACAGACCCATAAACTGATACAACAACAGACCCATAAACTAACACAACAAAAGACCCTATAAACTGTAGGGACACAACAACAGACCCATAAACTGACACAACAACAGACCCATAAACTGACACAACAACAGACCCATAAACTGACACAACAACAGACCCATAAACTGACACAACAGACCCATAAACTGACACAACAACAGACCCATAAACTGTAGGGACACAACAACAGACCCATAAACTGACACAACAACAGACCCATAAACTGACACAACAACACACCCATAAACTGTAGGGACACAACAACAGACCCATAAACTGATACAACAACAGACCCATAAACTAGCACAACAAAAGACCCATAAACTGTAGGGACACAACAACAGACCCATAAACTGACACAACAACAGACCCATAAACTGACACAACAACAGACCCATAAACTGACACAACAACAGACCCATAAACTGACACAACAACAGACCCATAAACTGACACAACAACAGACCCATAAACTGACACAACAACAGACCCATAAACTGACACAACAACAGACCCATAAACTGACACAACAACAGACCCATAAACTGACACAACAACAGACCCATAAACTGACACAACAACAGACCCATAAACTGTAGGGACACAACAACAGACCCATAAACTGTAGGGACATAACAACAGACCCATAAACTGACACAACAACAGACCCATAAACTGTAGGGACACAACAACAGACCCATAAACTGACACAACAACAGACCCATAAACTGACACAACAACAGACCCATAAACTGTAGGGACACAACAACAGACCCATAAACTGATACAACAACAGACCCATAAACTGACACAACAACAGACCCATAAACTGACACAACAATAGACCCATAAACTGTAGGGACATAACAACAGACCCATAAACTGACACAACAACAGACCCATAAACTGACACAACAACAGACCCATAAACTGTAGGGACACAACAACAGACCCATAAACTGACACAACAACAGACCCATAAACTGACACAACAACAGACCCATAAACTGTAGGGACACAACAACAGACCCATAAAAAAGAGACTAAATCAATTGAATAAATCCGCTGTTTAAAACAACTGACTAAAAACAACTGACTAAAAAAACTGACTAAAAACAACCTGCTAAAACAACCCACTTAAAAATAATTGACTAAAACTAACTATACAAGCCAAAAAAAAACTGACAGAAAGTAATGCACTTTTTAACAAGTCCAAATTTATTTCTTGCTGATAACCCCACCGGTATCACGTGGTACACCAGTATTGAAACGTCCAGTGATGACGCCATCGGTGAAATTCGTACCTAGGTTTGATGATTGACTGGAATCTATGCTTGTATATGTCTTTTCCTGACTTACATATAATTTTATATATAACTCACAATATCACTAGACTTAGCAAGTTTAAGATAACTTTTACCCGAGTGTATTAATAAAATATACAAATATCGATCATCCAAATATATAATTAACAGATTCTCTAAAATTGTATACGTAGATAAACTTGGCATTTAATGGCGAAAATTGTAATGGGAGACAACAATCAAAATTAACAGATGTTGAAATGTTATAATTACTCCCCTTGTATTACTTGTGACGAAGTAAAGTGACAACTTGAATTTACTGGGTCGTTGAACCCCACCTACAGAGTTTCTTTCAGGCAAGTCTTTTTTTTTTTTAGACATCTGCTTGTGTATATCAGTCAGAAATTGATCCTAGCGGTTCTTACATTTTTTTTATGGTAACGAACCCCACTAGTTTCATACAGAGTTTCTTCCAGGCATCTCTCCGGGCCCCCCCCCCCCGAAATTTTTTTACCGCCCCCCCCCCAACGGAATGAAAATTATATAATTTATATAGAAAATATATACTTTTAACAGTGTCCGCCCCCCCCCCCCCCGAAGAAAGTTTACCGCCCCCCCCCCCCCCCCCCCCGAAGATTTCAAGAAAAAAGTCTGGAAGAAACACTGGTTTCATATGTGCATTCACTGAACCCTTTTTAGTATTTTATCGTCCGCACTGCCAAGATCCAATCGTGAATCATATGAGTTAGGCGTGTCTTGATCTCCGCCGAACCCCTGAGAATGACAAACCGAATCCCTAGGGTTCGATCGAACCCAAGATAAGAACCACTGCCCAAGAACTACGTGTTTGCTCACAGTGAAAAAAAAACATACACAAGGTTAAGCTTCAATATATATTTAAAATTTTTAAAACCGTAATATTTTAACGACACGAAAAAATCGTCACATCCATCGTCAGCAACTGAATTCTCACAGTGTCTTAACTCAATGTGAGCGTCGATGTTTGTGTGTGGTATCTAGGTCTGTAACACAATGGTGCCATTTGAAGCCTTGACCAGTGTCCAGGCTCCAGGTTTCTGCTGCCGAATGCTAAAAACTCACGTGAAGTCGTAGCCAGCATCCTGGTAGGTGGTGAAGTTAAACAGAATTGTCTCCCCGTTGACTGGGATATAGCTAGACACGCCTAGACACATGAGAAAACCGAATTAGTTCAGGAAATGGTCCGATATCTTGTTTTATGAAATGCCGGGTTTCTCTCTATATATATCTCTCTATATATATCAATATCATGTATAATAGATATTTTCAAGAGGGGGTGGGTATCAATATGTGGTTGATTGTCAGGGGCTAATTGCAATAGTGGAGGGAGTTTATTGACCGTTGGGGTAATGTCCTGCCCCGCCCTTCTTCTTCTTCGTTTTTAATTTTAATGTTGGACAAGATTTTCTCCAACACAATTAAGTACTACGTATCCACCTGTTATGCGCCATATAGGCCGCGGACTTCTATTTCAGCCTGCTTTTTGGTTTGTCTCATTAGTCCTTGTCTATCCAAGAACGAAAGTACAAGACAGCATTTGTTTGATTTTTGGAGTTTGCTATCCTAGATGGGTTGCTGTCTCGCGCTATAGTGCCGCATCTGCCCGGGGTTCAAACTCCACATTCATGCTACGTCATTTCGTTCGGTCGAGGGAATGTCTCCCAAACTTTCGGCTAAAACAGTTCGATAATGCATAATCCTAGACCACAATGCTTAATGCTCACGATAGCTACACCTGTGTTTTCAGGTGAGTGGATATAGGTTGAGACATTCACATGAGGTCTGTATGACCTGTATGACCTGTATGACCTGTATGACCTGTATGATCTGTATGTTCTGTATGACCTGTATGACCTGTATGACCTGTATGACCTGTATGACCTGTATGACCTGTATGACCTATATGACCTGTATGACCTGTATGACCTGTATGACCTGTATGACCTGTATGACCTGTATGACCTGTATGACCTGTATGACCTGTATGACCTGTATGACCTGTATGGCCTGTATGACCTGTATGACCGTATGACCTGTATGACCAGTATGACCTGTATGACCAGTATGACCAGTATGACCTGTATGACCTGTATGACCTGTATGACCTGTATGACCTGTATGACCTGTATGACCTGTATGACCTGTATGACCTGTATGACCTGTATGACCTGTATGACCTGTATGACCTGTATGACCTTATGACCTGTATGACCTGTATGATCTGTATACCTGTCTGTGCGTGATCTTTTCATTGCTAAAGTCCCCTCGCGATGTTTTTCTTTTTAAAACTGGCCCCCATTTTACCTGACACTGACACCTGTCGTTCACTCACGTGACCATACACCTGACTACCGTTCACTCACGTGACCGTACACATGACAATCGTTAACTCACGTGACCATACACCTGACTACCGTTCACTCACGTGACCGTACACATGACAATCGTTAACTCACGTGACCATACACCTGACAACCGTTAACTCACGTGACCATACACCTGACAACCGTTCACTCACGTGACCGTACACATGACAATCGTTAACTCACGTGACCATACACCTGACTACCGTTCACTCACGTGACCGTACACATGACAATCGTTAACTCACGTGACCATACACCTGACAACCGTTAACTCACGTGACCATACACCTGACAACCGTTCACTCACGTGACCGTACACATGACAATCGTTAACTCACGTGACCATACACCTGACTACCGTTCACTCACGTGACCATACACCTGACTACCGTTCACTCACGTGACCATACACCTGACAACCTTTAACTTACGTGACCATACACCTGACTACCGTTAACTCACGTGACCATACACCTGACTACCGTTCACTCACGTGACCATACACCTGACAACCGTTAACTCACGTGACCATACACCTGACAACCGTTAACTCACTTGACGATACACCTGACAACCGTTAACTCACTTGACCATACACCTGACAACCGTTCACTCACGTGACCATTCACCTGACAACCGTTAACTGACGTGACCATACACCTGACAACCGTTCACTCACGTGACCATACACCTGACAACCGTTCACTCACGTGACCGTACACCTGACAACCGTTAACTCACCACATTCGGCCGCCACACCGTTGCTGCTGATGTGCCAAAAAGTTTCATTTGGAATCGAACCTCGAACTCCGTTGATGCTGTCAATAAAGTAGCCCAGCCCAGCGTAGTAGGTGGATTCGAACCTGCATTTAAAAAACATTAAATTTGTCGAGCTTCTGAAGACCTAGGTTAGTCAAGGTAAAAACAAGTTAATAAAAAGTCTAGTGACAATTTAAGCGCAATTACCTTAATTAATTTTTTGTGACCGAATGAAAGGATATTTTTGAAAACTTTCTTCCGCAATATTGTTCTAAATTATGGCAGGAATCGATTGATAAATGTTTCAAGTCGCTAAGTGGTCTGGTTGCCGAGATATTGGCCAAAAACTGCATTTTTTCGAGGTTTTTTGGCTTTTCCGGGAAATCCAGGAAGGAATTCCGGGAATTTTTTTGGCCCACAATCATCCTCGGAACTTGCTTAACATATTTGCTTTGGAACTAGTCCTCGATATTGCTTCGTTGAGGAGGAGATACGACTTAAAGCTGCGGACACACATCGGACACACATCCATCCTTGACGAGTTAATAATAGCAATTGTCCGTATGGAAATTGCGCTAAAAAAATACTAAAATTTCTTAAAACGTAAAAAAGAACCAACTTGAAAGCAGCGTTGATCACACACGCTTTCTCCAAGAAGGTGAGTAGTTCTCTTTGAAACTCGTTGACGATGTTGGCGGTGAGTTCAAATGTAGGGGGTGTCAGGTTGTTTCTGGCTATGAGGGTCACGTTAATTTTTCTCCCACACAAGCCACACGGTGGTTGATCGAAGTCACATGAGTTCTGTGGGCTGGGGAATACAAGGTGAGTGGTGGGGGTGAGGTAGGTGTGGTGGGTGTGGTGGGTGTGGGTGTAAGTATGGTGGGTGAGGGAATACAAGGTGAGGGGTGGGGGTGAGGTAGGTGTGGTGGGTGAGGGGGGTGTGGGTGTAAGTATGGTGGGCTCGGGAATACAAGGTGGGGGGTGGGGGTGAGGTGGATGTGGATGTGGGTAAGTTTGGTGGATGTGGGTAAGTTTGGTGGATGTGGGTGTGGGTGTAAGTTTGGTAGTGTGGATGTGGGTAAGTTGGGTGGCTGTGAATAAGTTGGGTGGGTGTGGTTGGGTGTGGGTATAAGTGGTATATTTTCTCATGTTACAAAAACATACCAATACTTTTAATCAATTAGTTACTGACAAAAACAACCATAATGTACCAGCCTTTAATTAATTATCTTCATGGATATCAAAATTCTGTGGTTGAGTCGTAGGACAAATTACTCCTATCACGAAAGACATGAGTTCGGCTCTAAGACATGAGTTCACCCAGCTCCTATTGCGTACCTTACTCAAGCCGAGTAAAGTACAACTGACCTAGATAATGTGCATGACAAACAAACCTTTCACGTGCCGCTATCAAATAAACAGATAAACTCTACGTCACCTTTTTAAAGTGTCTGTACAGCAAATCGGGTTCAACTTACGGGCAGATTTTCTTTTTCTTCTTGGCCTGGCCCAGCATGAAGCATGAGAAGAGAATGAGAAGTACGGCCAGTGTCCTGAGTTTCATTGTGTCGCTGTGTCTCAACACACTGGCTCACAGTTCCAATATCAGCTCACTAGATAGATCAGTGTGCCTCTGTGTCTCGACACACTGGCTCACAGTTCCAATATCAGCTCACTAGATAGATCAGTGTGCCTCTGTGTCTCGACACACTGGCTCACAGTTCCAAGATCAGCTCACTAGATAGATCAGTGTGCCTCTGTGTCTCGACACACTGGCTCACAGTTCCAAGATCAGCTCACTAGATAGATCAGTGTGCCTCTGTGTCTCGACACACTGGCTCACAGTTCCAAGATCAGCTCACTAGATAGATCAGTGTGCCGCTGTGCCTCGACACACTGGCTCACAGTTCCAAGATCAGCTCACTAGATAGATCAGTGTGCCTCTGTGTCTCGACACACTGGCTCACAGTTCCAAGATCAGCTCAATAGATAGATCAGTGTGTCTCTGTGTCTCGACACACTGGCTCACAGTTCCAAGATCAGCTCACTAGATAGATCAGTGTGTCTCTGTGTCTCGACACACTGGCTCACAGTTCCAATATCAGCTCACTAGATAGATCAGTGTGTCTCTGTGTCTCGACACACTGGCTCACAGTTCCAAGATCAGCTCACTAGATAGATCAGTGTGTCGCTGTGTCTCGACACACTGGCTCACAGTTCTAAGATCAGCTCACTAGATAGATCAGTGTGCCTCTGTGTCTCGACACACTGGCTCACAGTTCCAAGATCAGCTCACTAGATAGATCAGTGTGCCTCTGTAAATATTTAACTATGTGAATACAGACAAACCAGATAAAGCTCTCATTAGTAAAAACTCCTGTAAGCTTTAATACTTAACAGATCTGAAATAAAATGATGATGATTTATGATAAAATGTTTTTTTATCCAAATTGTTTACACTTTACTGTAATATTGCAAAAAACAAATGGACTACACACAAAAAGTTTCGAACGAACCTGAAACTGATCAACAGCTTGCATGCGAATTGTGGTCTACCTGTGTTCGAATCCCAATGATACAATACCACAGTCACCTGTTGAAATCACTAGCACAGGTGTGGAGGTCTGGTGGTGACCACTGGCTCAATCCACCAAGATATAATCCATCACATGTTTATTCAGCAAGAATTTATGTAGTACTTTATCCACTAACGATTTTACCCAATATCCCCAAAGAGGAAAAAATTCGTCATAAGTCAAATTTTAATGTGTTTCGCATAAAACGCGCCATTTTTCCCATCGATTTTTACACCAAATCAATAAGTTGACGTGGATGATTGTGACTTATATTACTTGCAGTAAAAAAATCAATTTAAAATAAATTCCAAAACAATATATCATAGTCAGCTGAAAGTAGCCTTGAAAGAGTTTTACTTTGCATAACTAAAGGGTTTTACTTTCCATACCTGAAGGGTTTTACTTACATATCTACAAGTTTGTTATTTCTCACCTGCATATTTCACGTGGTATCAGGTCAGTTCTTATGCGGACAAGGCTTATCTTTCTGATAGGCAGTGGGGGAGGCAGGGGGCGCAATGGACACAATACCCCTCCCCTCCCCCCACCCATACTGAAATGAGAGTTGTCTCACGTCATTAATCAGTGTGTGCTTGTGGGGCTATATATTTTGTTTTTTTATATTTTCAAAGACAAAAAAATATTTCGTTCACAACAAAGTTATATATATATATATATATATATATATATATATATATATATATATATATATATATATATATATATATATATATATATATATATATATATAAAATTGGGTCTCAGGCTCTATACACTGTACCGCCAGCTACAGTGTGTGTTATAGTTTACTTTTTTTAATCTAGCATCTTATTTTCTATTTTCTATTTCAAAATGTTCTATCGTAAGATCCACAGAATTTTAAATGCCACAAACAACCCCTAGTACAAACAAAACTTATTACATAAACAATGTGTACGAACTCTACAAGGCGAAAACATAGCGATCACACAGCATAGCATATTTTATTGAAACAGTTTAGAAGGACAGTAAAGTCATCCAAGCCACAATTGTTCACTATCCACACATCACGGTTATCCAGTGGATGCATACGAGGTGAACTTGAAGATGATTTCTTCACCGTTTGCAGGTATGTAGTTGGAGACACCTAATGTAGTAGTAGGAGATTCAAGTTATGTATTGGCGGATATGTTTATGTATGGCTAGGGGTAGGCTAAATTTAAACACTTTGCGGTTGGAATTAAAGTATATATAATATGTATATCCATATCTCGTTCATAAATAAATAAATGTTTATATATCTATATCTATCTACATATATATATATATATATATATATATATATATATATATATATATATATATATATATATATATATATATATATATATATATATATATATATGTTACGTGGGGGTTGTTAAACCCGAGAGGTGATCTTATTCACTCATCCGTGGCATTCCCGTTGGGACAGGAAGGTCTAAAAGACCTGAGCAAACTAATTACTTTACAAACACTACAACATTAATTTTACACTAAAAAATAAAACTTAGTAAACACACAGTTAATGCATTTATTTATCTTCATTTTGACGTAACAAATATAGACGTAAAAGCCAAAGCTAAAGACACCACACAAATAAGACCTGGCCAGTCTTTCATATTCAAGAACATCACTAGAATTCTTAATACAGATTAAAAATGACCACAAATCCTTAAACTTCATCTTCATACTGAATTATTCACCTTGCTTACATTAATTCATAATAAAACATACAACTCAGAATACACACATATAAATGTCATTTCCTTAAGTCCTGCGCTACTGCTCTGCTTAGGTAATCTCAGAATTACACTCGTAACTGTTAGTTCTAATCCTAATTTCATTTCTCGCACTGTTACATAATCTCAGAATCACACATGTCAAAGTTATTATTTCTAGTCCTAATTTTATTTCTTGCACTGCTACGTAATCCCAGAATCACATCTGAAAATGTTAATATCCCTAGTTCTGATTCCACTCATTCTTGGTTTAAATCCTTCTAAAAATTCGGTCCTTAAAACAACCTAGTTCGACACTAGAACAACAGGAATATTTCCAACCGAGGAAACTAGACATCAGACATCTGGTAAAAACATCGTACTCAAGTGGCAGGAGGGTTTCCAACCACTGGAGAAAAAGACATTGGCCTCTGGTACAATATCTGGCCACACGTACCACATCCATCTAGGCCACAGCAAATAACAATAATATCACACAGGAACGAAGCACATTGTTACAAGAACACGACGTTGGGCCGCTGGTGTAAACACCAGGCCATATCAACCATACATCAGCTGCCATAAGGCCTCGAGTAGCCTCTAGCCCTAGCTGCGTGTGTGTAAGAGACAGAGAGCTTTACACAGTCCTCTTAAATAGCCTACATCCAACCAAACTTTTTCCCATACTTTTAGACCATCTGCTGACCCCAACTGACAGTCGCGACCTCAAGCTCGTAAATTTAAGCAGACGACCATTGGGGAGACAGGACATAAAATTGAACACAATGCATGCACACACCTAGGGACCGGTCACGGCCACAGTCCACGACTGTGAACCTCGTCAATTATCCGTGACACCGGCACACCCTGCCAGACCTCATCGCCGTGAGAACCGTGCGGCGTCTTGTGAGAAGGGGAGGGGGGAACATTACCCCGATCCAGCTATGACCAACCCAGAATGTAACTACACACAAAAAACCAGCAACCTGTGACAACCATTTAATAACCAGCCAGCATTAGGATACCAGCCAACATGCTTCCCCCGCAAAAATGATTGCGTCCCCGCAATCAACTTAACAAAGACAACTAATTGAGATAAACATTCTACTTTACTGTTCCCCTACTGACACAACACATACCTCTAGTTTACAGTAAAGGCCACTGAAGGCATAAACATCAATGAGCATACTGAAATGTCTCAAAAATGAACATCTACTGAAACCAGGTATCAACACGTATTTATCTCTAAAGGGTAGTTAACCAAAATGGACAAATCACGCCTTTCGACTACAAATAAATGGCCATCAATAAAGATAAATACTCGTCAGTCACACATACTTTTATACCACAAGGCCTGATCATGTACGTCCAGTACCAATATCAGCCAAGTCTTCCCAGTCATAAAATTATGTAACAGCATGTTTCATCTACAATAATTACTATTCAACGAATACCATAGTTGCCAATAATACGTTCAACACCATTAAAACTTACAAAGGTTGCATGTCAACTGGCCACCCAAATTCTTATAAAAAATGGTCTAAAAATAATTCCGTCAGTGCTAATATAAGTGTTTAACATTAGCACAATGCAAAAACACACAAAATAACAGCAATCACACACACATTCTTACAGTAAACTAAACGTATTCTACACGTTCCAACAGTTAACAATGCAAATAAAAAAAGGTATACACATAAAAAAATTATGCTGAGGTAAACCAACATATACTCAACATATTTAAAAAACCAATTTTTGAAAAAATCTTAATTTAGTTTGCTCAAGCACGGATCCCACTTCTGACACCAAATGTTACGTGGGGGTTTAGTTAAACCCGAGAGGTGATCTTATTCACTCATCCGTGGCATTCCCGTTGGGACAGGAAGGTCTAAAAGACCTGAGCAAACTAATTACTTTACAAACACTACAACATTAATTTTACACTAAAAAATAAAACTTAGTAAACACACAGTTAATGCATTTATTTATCTTCATTTTGACGTAACAAATATAGACGTAAAAGCCAAAGCTAAAGACACCACACAAATAAGACCTGGCCAGTCTTTCATATTCAAGAACATCACTAGAATTCTTAATACAGATTAAAAATGACCACAAATCCTTAAACTTCATCTTCATACTGAATTATTCACCTTGCTTACATTAATTCATAATAAAACATACAACTCAGAATACACACATATAAATGTCATTTCCTTAAGTCCTGCGCTACTGCTCTGCTTAGGTAATCTCAGAATTACACTCGTAACTGTTAGTTCTAATCCTAATTTCATTTCTCGCACTGTTACATAATCTCAGAATCACACATGTCAAAGTTATTATTTCTAGTCCTAATTTTATTTCTTGCACTGCTACGTAATCCCAGAATCACATCTGAAAATGTTAATATCCCTAGTTCTGATTCCACTCATTCTTGGTTTAAATCCTTCTAAAAATTCGGTCCTTAAAACAACCTAGTTCGACACTAGAACAACAGGAATATTTCCAACCGAGGAAACTAGACATCAGACATCTGGTAAAAACATCGTACTCAAGTGGCAGGAGGGTTTCCAACCACTGGAGAAAAAGACATTGGCCTCTGGTACAATATATGGCCACACGTACCACATCCATCTAGGCCACAGCAAATAACAATAATATCACACAGGAACGAAGCACATTGTTACAAGAACACGACGTTGGGCCGCTGGTGTAAACACCAGGCCATATCAACCATACATCAGCTGCCATAAGGCCTCGAGTAGCCTCTAGCCCTAGCTGCGTGTGTGTAAGAGACAGAGAGCTTTACACAGTCCTCTTAAATAGCCTACATCCAACCAAACTTTTTCCCATACTTTTAGACCATCTGCTGACCCCAACTGACAGTCGCGACCTCAAGCTCGTAAATTTAAGCAGACGACCATTGGGGAGACAGGACATAAAATTGAACACAATGCATGCACACACCTAGGGACCGGTCACGGCCACAGTCCACGACTGTGAACCTCGTCAATTATCCGTGACACCGTCACACCCTGCCAGACCTCATCGCCGTGAGAACCGTGCGGCGTCTTGTGAGAAGGGGAGGGGGGAACATTACCCCGATCCAGCTATGACCAACCCAGAATGTAACTACACACAAAAAACCAGCAACCTGTGACAACCATTTAATAACCAGCCAGCATTAGGATACCAGCCAACATATATATATATATATATATATATATATATATATATATATATATATATATTATCCATATTGGCATATATATATATATATATATATATATATATATATATATATATATATATATATATGCAAATTTGTATTTACCACAGTCAAGGCTATCCCCAGCGAAGATCTTCCAGTAGGTCTGTGTGACCGTTGACCCGGGCACGTTGTTGATGCTCTCTATAAAGTAGCCATTGCTAGGGAAGTAGGTCGCCTTAAACCTTTAGAGTGAGGGAGGGGGTGATGGGTAGTAGATGACAGGAGTTTAAGAATAAAATCATTTTGGTTAATGAGGCAATTTTATTGAATAACAGGTTCCCCATTTTTATCGGGGTTATTCATTTTAATATTGTATAGGATATCCCCCCCCCCCCCCAACGCAATTAAGGATTACGTGTTAACATGCATAAAGACCGTTGACTCCGGTTTCAGCCTGCTTTTCTTTCTGGATTTGCTTCCATAGCTTTTAACCATCCAACAACAATCTATATGGCAGCAGTTGTTAAATGTTGGAGTTTTCTCTCCTAGATGGGTTGCTGTCCTTGGCTAACAATCTCATGTGCCTATTTGTCCAAACTCGGGACTTTTGGAGTTAGAAATCACACGCTGTCCATTAGGTGATCCATACTAAGGTCTCGCTCATTAATGAGAAACGCAGGTAAAATAACAGGTCACAATCTGTCTGATACTCTAGAGTATGTACACAGCTACGTACACAATTTCGTGGTATGTTATCAAGAGACTAAAAAAAAGCCTTTGGGATTTCACCAAATAACAACTGACAACTCAAGGAGTTCAATGTGCTGGTTTTAGAGTGAAAATATAGAGCTAAAATTTAGAGCTAAAATATCGAGCTAAAATATCGAGCTAAAATATCGAGCTAAAATATCGAGCTAAAATATAGCTAAAATAGAGCTAAAATATAAGGCTAAAACATAGCTTAAATATTGAACTTAAATATAGAGCTTAAATATAGAGCTAAACTAACCTGAAGTTAGGCACCATGTTGGCCGCAAGTTCCAGCAGGGCCAACAACTCTCTCTGGTAAACGTTCATCAGGTTGGCGACGATGGAGAAATATGGCGTCTGTAAGCTATTTATAGCCCTGAGCGTGACGTTGATCTTGCTACCACAGAGCCCACAGGGCGGAAGTTGGAAGTCACAGTAGCCGCCACTGCTGGGGATACAGGGGAATTTTAGAGTCACAGTAGCCGCCACTGGGGATACAGGGAAATTTTAGAGTCACAGTAGCCGCCACTGCTGGGGATACAGGGAAATTTTAGAGTCACAGTAGCTAGCACTGCTGGGGATACAGGGAAATTTTAGAGTCACAGTAGCTAGCACTGCTGGGGATACAGGGAAATTTTAGAGTCACAGTAGCTAGCACTGCTGGGGATACAGGGGAATTTTAGAGTCACAGTAGCCGCCACTGCTGGGGATACAGGGAAATTTTAGAGTCACAGTAGCCGCCACTGGGGATACAGGGAAATTTTAGAGTCACAGTAGCCGCCACTGCTGGGGATACAGGGAAATTTTAGAGTCACAGTAGCTAGCACTGCTGGGGATACAGAGGAATTTTAGAGTCACAGTAGCCGCCACTGCTGGGGATACAGGGAAATTTTAGAGTCACAGTAGCTAGCACTGCTGGGGATACAGGGAAATTTTAGAGTCACAGTAGCTAGCACTGCTGGGGATACAGGGAAATTTTAGAGTCACAGTAGCTAGCACTGCTGGGGATACAGGGAAATTTTAGAGTCACAGTAGCCGCCACTGCTGGGGATACAGGGAAATTTTAGAGTCACAGTAGCCACCACTGCTGGGGATACAGGGAAATTTTAGAGTCACAGTAGCCACCACTGCTGGGGATACAGGGAAATTTTAGAGTCACAGTAGCTAGCACTGCTGGGGATACAGGGAAATTTTAGAGTCACAGTAGCCGCCACTGCTGGGGATACAGGGAAATTTTAGAGTCACAGTAGCCACCACTGCTGGGGATACAGGGAAATTTTAGAGTCACAGTAGCTAGCACTGCTGGGGATACAGGGAAATTTTAGAGTCACAGTAGCCGCCACTGCTGGGGATACAGGGAAATTTTAGAGTCACAGTAGCTAGCACTGCTGGGGATACAGGGAAATTTTAGAGTCACAGTAGCTAGCACTGCTGGGGATACAGGGAAATTTTAGAGTCACAGTAGCTAGCACTGCTGGGGATACAGGGAAATTTTAGAGTCACAGTAGCTAGCACTGCTGGGGATACAGGGAAATTTTAGAGTCACAGTAGCTAGCACTGCTGGGGATACAGGGAAATTTTAGAGTCACAGTAGCCACCACTGCTGGGGATACAGGGAAATTTTAGAGTCACAGTAGCTAGCACTGCTGGGGATACAGGGAAATTTTAGAGTCACAGTAGCTAGCACTGCTGGGGATACAGGGAAATTTTAGAGTCACAGTAGCTAGCACTGCTGGGGATACAGGGGAATTTTAGAGTCACAGTAGCCACCACTGCTGGGGATACAGAGGAATTTTATAACGGTCTGAAGGTCACAGTGAGCAACTTGGCTAGCAGTGTCTCTTCCAGACTTTTTTCTCCGGGGGGGGGGGGGGGGGCACTTGAAATTATCGGGGGGCGGTAGACTTTCTTCGGGGGGCGGACACTGTAAAAAGTATATATTTTCTATATAAATTATATAAATTTCATTTCGTTCGGGGGGGGGGGGGGCAATAAAAAAAATTCGGGGGGGGGGGGGGGGGGCGCTTCGCATCCCCGAAGAGATGCCTGGAAGAAACTCTGTTCGCTAGGGTCTGAAGGTCACAATGGCCTGATTCAGACAGTATTATTCAACTAGCCAATGACTGAAACAGTTTTGAGCCTTCCAGAATTGACATCAATAGCTTATAGCAGGGGTCTCCAAACTTTTCAGCCCGAGGGCCGCATTAACTATCAAATATCAGTTCGGGGGCCAGAGTTTCTTTAAGGCATCTCTTCAGGGTCGTGGCGCCCCCCGAAGAAGTCTACCGCCCCCCCCCCCCAATAAAATATAATTTATATAGAAATATATACAAATTTCAAGTGTCCATCCCCCCTCCCCCACCCGAGGTCCACGTTTGCTCTCAAATTGTTCTTCACGTATTTCATTCTTGAAAATGTTTTTTCACACAGGTATGTTGTTCGAAAATTTGAAAGGTACTTTGATGAAAAAGTTTTAATGTTAGCAAAGTCTTCCTTGTGCAAAAACGTATGAAAACCCATCCGGCCTTCTTTGAACTTGTCTCTGAGGAAGTCATTTTCTTGCAATTCAATGACCTCCAGCTGCAGTTCATCTTTGCAACTGGCCGCATTTGCTTCAAATGGGCTTTGAAACAGTCTCACTTCTTCTGCCTTTGAGTCCAAGTCAGAAAACCGCTACTGAAACTGCAGCTGGAGGTCTTCAACGATATCGTATGTTAATGACGTGGGGAACTCAGTGGTTGCTTCAGCCGTAAAGACCTTGCACTGCTGAAAGTGTGTCAAGTTGTTAGCCTGTACTTGTTCCAAAAACATGACAAGTTTGTATCTTAAGGCCTTTAGGTGGGTGTATAGATCAGAAACTAGATTTCACTCTCTTGCCGTTATAGGTTCAGAAAATTTAAATGACTAGTTATGTCTGCAGCAGAGGCCAATTTCTATACCCACTCTTTATCAGACGATAATAGCTGTGACTTGCCTTTACTATCAGGAAGTTGTCTATTTCTTTTCTTAGATACTCTGCTCAGAATTTTCTCGCAAAATTAGCTTCTTCTTCTTCGTTCTTAATTTTAGTGTTGTAAGGGATCCCCTCCCACACAATTAACTATAGTGATGCGAAATATGGTAAATCTTGCGATTTTCTGTTTGTCTCTGAACTATCTATGGTTAGATATCCTCTATGGTAACAGTGTCATACATTATATGTAGGGAAGCCAGCTCTTGTGTTATGTTTAGATCTTCACCCACACCTCTAATGAACACAAGAAGTTGAGAGGTGGAACAGCTGTCCAGCGACTCATCCATTGCAATTAAAAAGCGAAACTTGCTTATAGCGTAAGGGTTGGCACTTTCCCCCTCTAGTTAAAGAATCAAAACCTGGCGGTCAGTTTTAGATTGTTCCCATGAAGATAGAAATGGTACTGTGGCCACTGACCATACCAAAATAAAAACAAACATTATAGAGAAGGTAATGAGGAACATACCCAAGTAGACTTACAGACAAAGCTACGAGTTTTGACTATAAGATATGGGACATTTTTCTGTTGTGAACAACATTGGTATCAAGAAGACATCCATGTCAAAAGTAAGTCTAAGCAGTATATATACATACACACACATATATATATATATATATATATATATATATATATATATATATATATATATATATATATATATAATCTTAAATTTATTTGAGAACGGATTAGTTTTTTCTTTGTTGAATATCACTAATATGTATGCACTTACAGTAATGTGTGTATTGTCACCAATAATAATTGTATTACTAAATACCTCTTAGTCATGTTTATATACTAAATTTAAAAACCTGTCTTTTAATTCTGCAGAATTCTATCAGAAATATTCAAATACGTTTTTCATCAGATTCATTATGTTAAAACTAAAATGTGTAGTATTTTATTAAACTTAAATCACGTTTTACTAAAATATCACCGCTTGACTTACCATGAATCGTCCTTACCCTTCTTAGTTTGACAAACTATGAAAAAACTTGAGAAGACGACCACTGCAATAACTAACTGTTGCTTCATTCTTTTCTGGTACTTGTGGAGCTGGTACGACAAGGTATCACAGTGTTGGAGACCGGCTAATGGTAGAGACGAAATGTTTCAGCAGTATAAATTCTAAACTACTGCCCCATAAAATTCAAGATTTAGCCAATTTGTTTGCCCAGATCTCAGCATCTAAGACACAATACACACTTAAACGTCGTCAACCGCAGTCATCAACATCAAGCAAGTTTCGTATATAGTGTTTCATCTTACTGTACAGACATTTGTATTCATATTTTTATTTGATCTGTCACTCACAATACACAACACAGAGTGGCAACAAATTGATTAAAACATGTTATTCGGAACCAGGGGCGTAGCTAGCTACTATTCTCAAAATGCCACCTACCTTTTTTTCCAAGGTACGCTTCTGCTACGGCGTTTAAAGTTTGTTGTTATGGGGTTGATTTAGCGAACTTTTCTTACAAAACATAGTGATGGGATGTTCAAGGAAAATATATATTTAGAACTAGTTCAGTCAGCTTCAAATAATAAGTAACACAGTTGCCTACCAATATACAACAGCACAGTCGGTTTCAAAATATGCTTGTAAGTTAGTTAAAGAGTCAATATGAATTTTTGAATATAGGTTATATAAAGAGAAATACACTGTATTTATAAAAGTAGATATTTATATCAATATCCTATGGATGTGTGTGTGTGGGAGGGGGGTATCCAAATTTAAAATTGAAAGTGATTCATGAGATTTTTTTTGAATGAGTTTTTATTAGATTTTAAAGTAGTATGGCAAAAACATAAAACGCAGGGTCCGCATGGCAATCCACAATCCATTATCCACAAAGACGCGTATCCACAGAATGATATCCTAAGACGATATGCCTTGTATCAACCAAATGAAGAGGGCGAGTAAAGTAAGATGATTTCCTCTTCGTGATCAGGTACGTAGTTGTGTATACCTGGAGTGTTAAGAAAACATTCGGGTGAGTAGAGAAGTTTAGATGTAAAGTTCAAATGAGTATAGAAGTTCTGAGGAATAGAGAAGTACAGGTTTAAAGTTCAGGTGAGTAGATACGTTCAAGTGTGATGTTCAGGTATGATGTTCAGGTGTGTTGTTCAGGTGTAATTGTCACAGCCCTTTTGTATGACTGGGTTCACGACATAAACTAAAAGCAAATACCAACCACATTACTGGTGATTTCACAATTTTATTAATATTAGATCTACATATTCAGAATGATATTCAGCAGCTACACTACTCAACAAACACGACTTTCAGTTTCTTCATCTTTCTTGTTCTGTCGCCTTCTACCTCTCGCTTCCTTTCCTTTTACGCATGCGCACACCCACACTATCTTTTATATTTTATCTCGCCTTTTTAATACACACACTCGCAACATACATTCATATACATTTAACTGTTATAGTAATGTTCAAGTTTGATGTTTTGTGTGATCTACATGTGTGATATTCATGTGTGATGTTCAAGTGTGATGTTCAGGTGTGATGTTCATGTGTGATGTACATGTGTGATGTTCAGTGTGATATTCATGAGTGATGTTCATGTGAGATATTCAGGTGTGATGTTCAAGTGAGTAGATACGTTCAAGTGTGAGGTTCAGGTGAGTAGATACGTTCAGGTGTGATGTTCAAGTGTAATGTTCAGGTGTGATGTTCAGGTGAGTAGATACGTTCAGATGTGATGTTCAAGTGTGATGTTCAGGTGTGATGTTCAGGTGTGAGGTTCAGGTGAGTTGTAAAGTTCAGGTGTATTATTCAGGTTTGATGTTCATGTGTTATATTCAGGTGAGTAGAGACGTACAGGTGTGATGCTCAGGTAAGTAAAGAGCAATTTCAAAATGTTCATGAACACAAAATCTCCACCACCGAGATATATTTACCACAAAAATCGTCTCCTGCACCATTGTTAGTCAGCAGCCAATACCTTTCATTGGTCTTAACCAGGTCGTTGATGCTGTCAATGGAATATCCCAGGTTGGGATAGTAGTTCAGCTTAAACCTGGACAGTTAGGGAACATCAGGATATATTCAATTCACAATGGTAGACCATATATCTGAATTTAACACATCGGCCATTATTATATAAGTCAGCACATTGACCGACCATACCAACCTACCTAAAGTTAGACAACACCTTGACCGTCCATATCAACCTACAACACCTTGACCGTCTATAGCAACCTACCTGAAGCTAGACAACACCTTGACCGTCCATAGCAACCTACCTGAAGTTAGACAAAACCTTGACCGTCCTTATCAACCTACCTGAAGTTAGACAAAACTTTGACCGTCCATATCAACCTACTTGAAGCTAGACAACACCTATACCGTCCATATCAACCTACCTGAAGTTAGACAACACCTTGACCGTCCATAGCAACCTATCTGAAGTTAAACAACACCTTGACCGTCCATATCAACCTACCTGAAGCTAGACAAAACTTTGACCGTCCATAGCAACCTAGCTGAAGCTAGACAAAACTTTGACCGTCCATATCAACCTACTTGAAGCTAGACAACACCTATACCGTCCATATTAACCTACCTGAAGTTAGACAACACCTTGACCGTCCATAGCAACCTACCTGAAGTTAAACAACACCTTGACCGTCCATATCAACCTACCTGAAGCTAGACAACTTATTAGCCGCCTCTTCCATCATTGAACTCAACCTTCTCTGGTAAACATTGACCAGAGTCACTGAGATGTTGAAGTAGGGGGCGTTCAGGTTATTTATAGCCGTTATTGTCAGGTTGATCTTCCGCCCACACACCCCACACGGCGGCTGTTGGAAGTCACAGTAACCCACATTACTGAAACAGTAACGTTAGAGTACTCACAGTAACCACAGTAACCCACATTGCTGAAAATTTAAAGCAACAGTAATCACAGTAACCACAGTAACCACAGTAACCACAGTAACCACATTGCTGAAACAGTAAAGTTAGAGTAATCACAGTAACCACAGTAACCCACATTACTGAATCAGTAAAGCTAGAGTAATCACAGTTACCCACATTGCTGAAACACAGTAACGTTAGAGTAATCACAGTAACCACAGTAACCCACATTACTGAAACAGTAAAGCTAGAGTAATCACAGTTACCCACATTGCTGAAACAGTAAAGTTAGAGTAATCACAGTAACCACAGTAACCCACATAGCTGAAACAGTAAAGTTAGAGTAATCACAGTAATCATGGTAACCGGGCATAGTGCTGACCACACTATCTCTTCTTATTCCGAGGTAACAGAAACAAATGAACTCTACCTCACTTTCCCTATAGACCGTCAGGTTTGAAAAGAGAACATTACTTTTTACTTTCTCGTATATACGAAGTATAGAGAAAGTATTGTAATCGTGCAAAAAAATCTTTTAAAATTTTAACAATTTTCACCGTATTACACCTCAGTCCTTTATCACATCCGAAGTATAGAGGACTTATTTTAATCGGGCAAAAATTATCAATCCAGATTTATCAAAATTAAGAGGTTTTATGCGTAATCCATTCTGAAAAACTGGGCTTTGCAATTCTGTCCGTATGTCTGTGTGTCTGTCTGTCTGTGTGTAAACACGATTACTTGAGTACCGTTACAGCTAGGTTGATGAAATTTCATATATAAGTATTTTATAAAAATCGTAGATCCGTATCAACTTTTGGGCGATTTCCGAAAAACGGAAGTGGTACTTTTTCTACTTTGAATTTTTCAAAAGCCTATAACTTGAGTACTACTTCAGATAGATAAATGAAATTTCACATGTGAGTAAAAGATCTAATTTTCTACCTTCTGTTAAATTTTGAGTAATTTCCGTTGACCGGAAGTAGTAATTTACGCTACTTCCGATTTCTCAAAAAACTAATGTAAATTTTTAAAGTACTAATAATATTGCGCACTATTATGCGCGTTTTACTTTCTCGAATATACGAAGTATAGAGAAAGTCTTGTAATCGTGCAAAAAAAATCGCGATTTTCACAAATCTCGACGTTTTACACCTCACTGATACGGAAAAACATAATTTTGCAATCTTGTCCGTATGTCTGTGTGTCTGTCTGTCTGTCTGTCTGTGTGTGTGTGTGTCCGTGTGTAAACACGATAACTTGAGTACCGTTACAGCTAGATTGATGAAATTTCATATGTAAGTATTTTATCAAAATCGTAGATCCGTATCAACTTGAGCGATTTCCGATAACCGGAAGTGGTACTTTTCCTACTTTGAATTTTTCAAAAGCCTATAACTTGAGTACTATTTCAGATAGATAAATGAAATTTCCCATGTAAGTAAAAGATCTAATTCTCTACCTTCTGTTAAATTTTGAGTAATTTCCGTTGACCGAAAGTAGTAATTCACGCTACTTCCGATTTCTCAAAAAACTAATGTAAATTTTTAAAGTACTAATAATATTGCGCACTATTATTTTTTTTTTATTTGGCGTTCACTTAGTGTGCAATTAATTTGTCTACGAGATTTTATTCTATTTTTAAAACTTTAAGTATTTAAAATGGATTAAAAATCGTGTCTATAACCCGAGTTCCCATCCCCTGTTATTTTATATAAGAATATTCGAGAAAGTTTAGGGGAGATCACTCCCGGTTTATTAATCACAGTAACTGCTGAAAAAAAAAAGTCACAGTAACCGACATTGCTGACAAATTACTATTTCTTTTTTACTTTCTCGTATATACGAAGTATAGAGAAAGTCTTGTAATCGTGCAAAAAAAAAATCGAGATTTTTGCAAATCTCGACGTTTTACATCTCACTGATACGGAAAAACATAATTTTGCAATCTTGTCCGTATGTCTGTGTGTCTGTGTGTGTGTGTGTGTGTCCGTGTGTAAACACGATAACTTGAGTACCGTTACAGCTAGGTTGATGAAATTTCATATACAAGTATTTTATCAAAATCGTAGATGCGTATCAACTTTTGAGCGATTTCGGATAACCGGAAGTGGTACTTTTTCTACTTTGAATTTTTCAAAAGCCTATAACTTGAGTACTATTTCAGATAGATAGATGAAATTTGATATGTAAGTAAAAGATCTAATTTTCTACCTTCTGTCAAATTTTGAGAATTTTTCGTTGACCGGAAGTACTTATTTACGCTACTTACGATTTCTCAAAAAACTAATGTAAATTTTAAAAGTACTAATAATATTGCGCACTATTATGCGCTTTTTTATTCGCGTTCACTTGGTGTGCAATTAATTTGTCTACGAGATTTTATTCTATTTTTAAAACTTTAAGTATTTAAAATGGATTAAAAATCATGTCTATAGCCCGAGTTCCCATCCCCTGTTATTTTATATAAGAATATTCGAGAAAGTTTAGGGGAGATCACTCCCGGTTTATTTACTTTCTCGTATATACGTAGTATAGAGAAAGTATTGTAATCGTGCAAAAAAAAAAAAATCGAGATTTTTACAAATCTCGACGTTTTACACCTCACTGATACGGAAAAACATAATTTTGCAATCTTGTCCGTATGTCTGTGTGTGTGTGTGTGTGTGTCTGTGTGTGTGTCCGTGTGTAAACACGATAACTTGAGTACCGTTACAGCTAGGTTGATGAAATTTCATATATAAGTATTATATCAAAATCGTAGATCCGTATCAACTTTTGAGCGATTTCCGACAACCGGAAGTGGTACTTTTTCTACTTTGAATTTTTCAAAAGCCTATAACTTGAGTACTATTTCAGATAGATAAATGAAATTTCACATGTAAATAAAAGATCTAATTCTCTACCTTCTGTTAAATTTTGAGTAATTTCCGTTGACTGGAAGTAGTAATTTACGCTACTTCCGATTTCTCAAAAAACTAATGTAAATTTTAAAAGTACTAATAATATTGCGCACTATTATGCGCTTTTTTATTTCGCGTTCACTTGGTGTGCAATTATTTGTCTACGAGATTTTATTCTATTTTTAAAACTTTAAGTATTTAAAATGGATTAAAAATCATGTCTATAGCCCGAGTTCCCATCCCCTGTTATTTTATATAAGAATATTCGAGAAAGTTTAGGGGAGATCACTCCCGGTTTATTTTTTAATTAGTTTATGCAGCCGGTTAAGGGGAGCTAACTATAAACATATTTTGTTTCTGTGATTACATCCCTTCTCACATCTTAAAATATTCTTAAATCAAATTGAAAATGTTTTCGACATTAAGAGATACAACTTCGGCGTTGTCTGTTTGTTTAAAATTTTATACTCTACCCCCACTCGGAGAAATGCCTGAAAGAAACACTGTTCTGCATCGTTATCCACTTATCTAAACCCTCCCCTCCCCCAAATCCCTAATTAATTAGTACACATTGCTGTCATGTTCTACACATCCAATCATACACAGATGCTCTACACATAAATATCGACAACCTTTAAAATACATATCAAACGTAATCAACGGATTTTTAAAACGTTTACTTTTCAAAACAAAAGGAATTAAATTACACTTACACGCATTTCTTTTTCGGCAGTTTGGATTGACACAGAAGGAAATAACTTGAGATAAAAACAAACAAAATCAGCCTGTGATGTTTCATAATTCAGCTCAGTTCTCCAGACACTCATTAGCTCTTGGTAAAATAAACTGAGAGATTTAAACCCTGATATTGTATAGGTGAGGGGGGGGGGGGGCAGTATTTGTGGGAGGAGCACAGTCACATTAAGTTAGATTTATACTGAGCCCCCCCCCCCCCCCCCCCACCCCCGGCTTGATACTTCTATTTCAAACAACCAATCAATTAGCTCATCACCCCACCCCCACTGTTGTGAATATTATGTTTGGGTCGATGTGATATTAAATTAACGCGTCCATTTAGCTATAAATGTCACGGTCACAGCGACCTGCACATAAAGATTTAGACATAAACGCTTCATTGATTTATGTTCGTGTCGAATCTTTAAAATTTAAATGTGAATCGATACTAAAATCTACGGAATACCAGTTTGTTTTTTACTTGAACTGACCGGAGAATCGGGTAATTTTTGCCGGAGAATCGGGTCATTTTTACGGGAGAATTAGGTAACTTTTACCTGGGAATCAGGTAATTTTTACCGGAGAATTAGATAATTTTTACCGGAGAATCAGGTAATTTTTACCGGAGAATTAGGTAATTTTTACCGGAGAAAATTGTTGATACAAAATAATAAGATCGTTGGAAAGTTTGTATATTGGTCTGATGTGGACAGGCGGGTATATTGGTCTGTATATATCTATATAATAAATATTATTTAATAAATATTACTTAACGCAACTTTCGATAAATAAATACTATTCGGATCTTTTATATTTAAATTGCTTGTAATTATATAATTGTAGGTTTGTCCAACTACTGCTCAGAACACAACGAGGTTATTCTTGTAAAGCTGAAAAACTAAAGATTTGTAGAGTCTATGATTATCTAATAGGACGAGATTTGTGTATCTATGTCGGGAAAAACAATTTTCATTTACTTGACGAAAAACAAAACAAAGCACTCGAATAAATTAAACAATGGACACAAGCAAGTTGAAGAGATTCCTTCCACAATGTTGTTGACATGGAATAAAAACGTGCTTTTTAGATTTAGACCGTAAAAAATAAAAAATAAAACAACTTAAGACTAAAATTAATTTAGAAATTTTATATTTTTAGAATAAATGCTATAAAAATTGCAAATCCAGAGAACTTGAAAATAAGTTGTTGAGTTTTAGGCTACATTTCTATTTATTTTCATCAAGCCTAAGTTATAACCGGATGTTTCACTTTCGTAAGACAAATATTGATTGCTGTACAATAACTTAGTGATCAATAACTATTTGTTTACAAAACTTTGCAGATCAAGTTTTTAATAACAATGCAAATTTAAACCCCATGACCTAGCGTTTCTATTTTTAGCTTACAATGTGTACAATAAAATTTATGGCGGCCTATCGAATAACAGGAAGCCATTGTTTATGTCGCCATAACACATGAAAACCAAATTGTTTTTGCTTTATTTTTTATTTTTATTTAGTTACCAAAAATATTAAAAATATCAAATACATCCAATCTTTAGTAAAGTCCGAAAAAACCCATCAGACAGGATTTTATAACCATATTAATTGTAACTACGCCGTGCATGATTTTTAAATTAATTTATGGACCTCTTAAATACCTTTGAGACTTTTCTCGCTGGCGTCCATTAAAGACAAGTTTAAATGCTTTACAATTTAAAAGGAACAACATGTTTTAATACAAAAAGATACTATGTAAATTTAGTAAAGACGATTGTCTTTAAATTTTCTAACTTCTTAGATCGCAGCAAGGTACGTTAGCAAGCCTATTACATAACTCTAAAGTCAGCCCCAACTCTAATTTAACGTGACTCCACTAAACCCGGAAGTCTAGCTGATGGTATGCTAGAGCAACTCTCTAGCTGATGGTATGCTAGAGCAACTCTCTAGCTGATGGTATGCTAGAGCAACTCTCTAGCTGATGGTATGCTAGAGCAACTCTCTAGCTGATGGTATGCTAGAGCAACTCTCTAGCTGATGGTATGCTAGAGCAACTCTCTAGCTGATGGTATGCTAGAGCAACTCTCTAGCTGATGGTATGCTAGAGCAACTCTTTAGCTGATGGTATGCTAGAGCAACTCTCTAGCTGATGGTATGCTAGAGCAACTCTCTAGCTGATGGTATGCTAGAGCAACTCTCTAGCTGATGGTATGCTAGAGCAACTCTCTAGCTGATGGTATGCTAGAGCAACTCTCTAGCTGATGGTATGCTAGAGCGACTCTCGATTCTTAAGCCTGTTCAAAACTGCCTGGGAAATGAAATAAACCGGGAGTGATCTCCCCTAAACTTTCTCGAATATTCTTTTAACAACAGAGGATGGCAACTCGGGATATAGATATGATTTTTAATCTAATATATATAGATCAATTCTGTATGAAAAACGTTTGTAAAATGTTTGTCGTGGATACTTCGATGGATTTAAGTGTTAGATTATTAAAGTGCTTATGGTCTAAATGTATGATTTAAAAAATTAATACTGAAAGTGTTGGGAAATAATTTTCCTTTTTCAAACTGAAAGTAATAATTGTCGGCATGTTCATTAAACACAATTTTTTAAAAATATCATCTTTTACAAAATTCTATTTGTCTGAAAATTATTTATATTTAGTCCTTTAGCACTTACTTCCCTTTGATCAATTAGGAAAACACAATTACTTCCCTTTATAAAACATTGTATTATTGGAAAAGAATTTACTTTATATCACTTTGTTTTGGTGTTGGGAAAAAAATAATTACATAATTAGCGGGGATTGAGCAAGTGCAAAGGTTGTAGATATTTTTAATACTGCCTTTTATTTATTCTATACACTGAACTTACTGTTTACTAAACTAATTATTTTTTTTAAAATCAATAACAGTTAATAAGCCAGGTCCTACATGTCCTGTATGTTTTATTTCTTTCCGTTTACGGATAAGCTTGGAGTATTAAAATTGTCCTCTGGCGCCCAGACAGGGTGCTATTTGGGGCCCCGGGCCTCCCGTGTTCGGTTTGGCGTCTACGTTCGTTTAAGTGAGTGCAAAAGACTATGAATAAGTTGGGGTATTATAGTCGTTTATTAAGCTGAAACAGGCGATTTCGCCGGCGCCCCAGTATGGTGCGATTTGGCGCCCCGGGCTAGACTGTGAGTACTTTGCGTTTATGTTCGCGTTTGTGTTTTCTTTGTGTTTAGGTTGGGTTTGCGTTAGTGGTTGGGTTTGCGTTTGGATTTTGTTCGTTGATTTTCGTTCTTTCTTTTTCGTTTTCGTTTGTTTTTTTGTTTTTGGTTTGTGTTTGTATTTGTGTTTGTGTTTGTGGTTGGTTTTGTGTTTGTGGTTGGGTTTGGGTTTGTGTTATCGTTTGTATTAGTGTTTGCGTTTATGTTGTTTCCTTTCTTTATTTGTGTTTTGGTTTTGGTTGGTTGTGGTAAGGGTGGCCAATGCCGGTATATGCTGATTACTAAACACACATGTCATGTTTCTTTACAGATAGGTTTCAGAAAGCTCTTTTATAGACACCTGCACCAAACTACAAGAAGATATACAATTTTATATAATACTAGCCGTCTCGGTTTGTGTTGTGTTTTGTTTGTGTTGTGTTTTGTTTGTGTTGTGTTTTGTTTGTGTTGTGTTTTGTTTGTGTTGTGTTGTGTTTTGTTTGTGTTGTGATTGTGTTGTGGTCGTGTTGTGTTTGTGTTGTGTTTGAATTATTTTCGCGGTTCTTTTTTTGTGTGTTTTGGTTTTGGTTGGTTGTGGTTAAGGTGGGCAATGCCGGATATATGCTGATTACCAAACACACATGTCATGGTCCTTTACAGATAGGTTTTTCACAGAGGCCAGAGCAGGGCCTGGCCGGGACGGCTAGTACATTTTAAAACTTAAACTTTTAAAATAGAATAAAATCTTGTATAAAAAAAATTGCACACCAAGTGAACGCCAAATAAAATGTGCATAATAGTGCGAAATATTATTAGTACTTTATAAATTCACATGCGTTTTTTTTTTTTTGAGAAAACGGAAATAGTGTAAATTACTACTTCCGGTCAACGGAAATTCGACAGAAGGCAGAGAATTAGATCTTTTACTTACATGTGAAATTTCATCTATCTATCTGAAATAGTACTCAAGTTATAGGCTTTTGAAAAATTCAAAGTAGAAAAAGTTCCACTTCCGATTGTCAGAAATTGCTCAAAAGTTTATACGGATATAATACTTATATATGAAATTTCATGAACTTAGCTGTAACGGTACTCAAGTTATCGTATTTACAGACACACACACACACACACACACACATACACACACACACAGACATACGGACAAACGGAGCTGTAAAACGTCGCGATTTGCAAAAATCTAGATTATACGAGAAAGTAAAAAAGCTTGAGCCAGTAACGAAAGTATACGAGTCCTTCGATCTGTGATCGATATATTTAACCGAAAACTTCTCGACTGACAACCTCTTGTTGGCGGCATTTTTTAATTGGGTTTCGTTTGTGCTGTTTCAAAAAAATAAAATGATCAATTTATTGCTTGTCACCTGGCCTGCATATCCTACACATCTCCCCACATTCCATGTAGATCTAGTTGATAGAGGCCACCCCACACACACACCCACACAATGTATTTTTAGCTCATGAGAACTAATTTAAATAAAAATTTCCCCGCTAGACTGGGCACTAGCACTGTAGTTTCTAAAGCTTTGAATCTTTTCATCTAGAGTTGGTGTAGATTTCCCTTTGAACCAGGTAGTCTCCCTCCTCGATAATGCACCTGGTTGAGTGCTGGGCTTGATGCATGACGGCAATCCAAGTTTACGTCACATGACAGCATCACGTGACCTCAAAAAATGGTCAACAGGATACACGAAGTCAACAAGCATGGGCAGGTGATTTCACCCCACAAAGCACATCCGGGTGGCTTTTAGGTTTAGCCCATTCAGAAAATTGTTGTAGTTATAGTTTGAATTTGAATTTTTTTCCCCAAATGTGGTTAGTTGTCAATGTGTTCTATACAAACATTGAAAAAAAGATGACACTGCAAACATGCCGTGTAGCCCATGACATCACGTGACACAAGCTTGTCAACACACCCAGCATACACTCGGTTTTCATTGAATTTGTGACGTCACCAGCTGTTCATACCTGGATGACCTTCATCTTGAATTTTTTTTAAAGCAAATCACGATGACCTAACTATAAAAGCTCTGCTGGTCTCTGAGAGTTCTATACAATACGATCATTTTACAGAACAAGTGTAACATACAGAAGACTTTGTCATATACAGAACTACACAAGAAGTTGCAGGTGAGATTTTCTTGGCTATAGTTGACGAATGTGTTGTACGGCTAATTGCTGGGCTGTAGTTGTTCAATTGTTTGCTTTTATAGCCGCGTTTGGTGTGTTCTTTATTTGGATTGTGTCGTTTTTACTTTGATAATGAAAGAACTCATTAGAGATGGACTGTTTTTTTAGTGTCAGCGATATATAGACATCTGTATGCCGAGACGCCGTAACTCTCTCTTTAAAAAGCTGTGAGGTCTCATTGTAGTTCTATTGACGCTGACAAAGGGATCCGACCTCGAGAGTTATGGGCTATCAATCGTGTTCTACTACTTGACCAAGTGAAATCTGACCCCAGCTATTGAACTGGGTCTGATACTGTCTGTATCATTAAGATGAGTGTATGACAAAAGGCCGACACGGACAAAAGGCTGACACCAAAAAGGCCAACCGGACATAAGGCCGACTGACTATAAGACCCACCAGAACCAGCGTTAGGGGTACGCGGGGCCTAGGGCCAACCATCCGCGCGAGGCCTTATATTTTTCCATTGGTGTTTAAAACATGTACAGAGAGGCGTTTTTTTTTCTTCTTCTCAACGCGAATTAATATTTATAACGATATGTAAGGTATTTTAAAGCTGCTTATCAATGTCGTATATTAGTTTTAGCATAAAGACTGATTAAAAAATAATTTGTTTACTTAGAAGTAATTTTGAAATGTTGCTTGTTTATGTAAATGCTTTTTTGTTTGAAAAATAAAACATAAAACAGATATAAGTTCGAGACATGCATTTAAGAGACAATGAACGTGAGCTTCAAATCTGATTTTTTACATAAATGTTTATTTATGAACATCTTACTAGTACGTTCACAAACGAAGATCTCACTTTTCTTGCCTTTCGTGAGAAAAATTCCTTGATTATATCATCATAGTCCTAATTGGAGACAATGTCTTTTTCTATTGACAGAATCGACAGGCTACAGAGCCTGTATTGGGACATCGTTGAATCATGTTCCCAATTACCCGGATCGTATATATCTTTTACGATCATTGGGAATGAATTATTTTTGTCAGAATCATTTTCAGAATGGCCGCTTGATTTGTCCCTATTGTCGAAGTTCGTGGGGTTTGCAGCTGACAATAAATGATTCGAGGATTCATTATTACCGTCATCACCACAAATGGTTGTACTCTCATTGTAGTCCTTTTTGTTACTTTCTACATTCCAAAATCCACAACCAAATCAAAAAGTTTGTGTTGTTTAACGACTTTCTTTGGGTAGTGTATGTACTTGTCCAACGCTTTTGATGCACCTGATTCATACTTGCGAAATCTATCTCTGTCTCTTGTAGACATGGTGTCAAGGAAAAATAGTGAAATCACCGGGGAAAATAGCAAAACATTGATAGATTTCGGACCAAGCTCGAATCGTGAAAAAACACTGTTTACGGATATAGATATCCAAATGAAATGACTCTCAAATGTAATCACGGACGCTCAGTGGGGTGGAAAACTGGGGTGGGTGACAGTTGGTGGGGTGAGGTAAAGGATAACTGTACATTTAAATCTATGGGATGCCAAACGCTAAGAAAAAAAATCTCCCAGTTCGAACACTACGTTACTGGATCTCTGACCGCAGCCATTCAAGAGAAGGTGCGTGTTTATATAGCATACACGTATTACATTACAGGTTAAGATCACGTTCTCACAAGAGAAGGTTAGTGTCTATAATTAGAAAGTGAACCATGTGACAGCCAGCTTCACCTTATTTATGAGTTTCGCGACGGCATGCTCAGACTTCCGGTAATTTAGACGTTTGGGGAAATCAGGAGAACTTTACCATAAAAAGATCTCGGCACTGTGTATCAAACAGTATAGACATAATTTGTTTGGTATCCCCAAACTATTTTAAAACAAAAATCACTATGGTCTTAACTATTATACTAGATATCCCTACAATTCATTAAAATAAACATGGGCTTAATCACTCTACGAATACCGTTAAAGTTTACGAAAATGAATATGGACATAGTTACTGTGTAAAAGCCCTTCAAAAATATAAAATAAATTAAATACAATTATAATGTATTTAAAGATGACCTGACAATATATAAAATGAATATGAACATAATTACTGTATGGATGCCTGACAAACGTATCGTGGTGAATAAGCATAATTACACAAAAGATGCCCATACAGTGTATAAATTATGATTTTAGGGATAAATACTCTGGATGCCCGGGCATGTCCCCATCCGCTCCCCCCTCCCCCCTCCTCTGCAAGCCATCATCAGGTCACTGACTGTTTACTACAGGCACCCCCGCCTGCTCACTAAAAAAAAACGTCTTCAACGGTCCGAATACAATAGAGTATCTCATTACGTGTTTTCCCGATTTCACCTCCCATGTCATGTCGGGGGCTAATTCGCAACCACCATCACCAGTCACCTCAGGTCAAAAGCGAGTCGACACTAAGCGAGGTGTAACACAAATGTCTTCGTATCGAATGACGGTCTGTCCCAGTTCATGTAGGGGATAACTCACTAACATCAGCCTTGGCCTCAGTTTATAACAATCTACAATTTCGGCCATTTTATTTTCCAAATTCAATTCAGCAAAGATTATTTAAGTTTACAAACTAATTCAGACAACAATAGCGGTGGTGAAGCGCGGGGCCCTTTCAAGCGCGGGGCCTGGGGCGGCCGCCCCGTTTGCCACCCCCTAACGTCGGCACTGAGACCCACAGCCAAAAGCAGACACACAAAAAGCCGACAAACCATAAAGTCAACAAAACAAACCTTATTTCTTGTCGGCCTTTTGTCTTGTCTTGTCGGCCTTTTGTCTATGGCGGCCTTTTGCCCTTTGTCCAGATCCCCATTTAAATCTAGTATTGTTTCAACTCGACCAAGAGAAATCCGACCCAGCGATTGAACCGTGTCTGATTGTGTCTAGTCTGTAGCATTTAGATCTAGTTTAGTTTCAACAGCCACAGAAAAATTTATTCGGAAATTTATTTTTTCTTCACAGTAAAGATGGCTGCTAAACTTCACTTTTTCGTGACATCTCTGACTTTGTTGAACCTTGCTGTAATGACCAGTGGTCATTGGAACAATAAACCACCAAAGTAGAAATTTTATAAATCATGTAGCAATTTAAAAAGAAATTAGTTATATACATTTTATAAATCTTGTATTATTTATTATAAATTATTGTTTAGCAAAGTTTATAAAGTTTGTTTAAACTAAATAATTTAACGAAATTTTATAAATCATGTATGAATTGTAAAATAAATATTTAATTAGCAATTAAATGTAAATTAATTTATAATTTCCCCAGCCAATGTGAAACGAGTGGTCCGTCGTGCTTTTCGTTGATTAGGCCTTACCCCCGGGTGACGCTACAGGCCAAAAACATCCTGCAGACGCCCACCTTTAATTACGTTGCCGTGGTAACGCTGCGTCAACAAAACCTCCTGGGGTTCTTGGAGAAAGCTGCGGACTCAAACTACGGTTTCAGGTGTGTAGGTTTATAGGTTCAGGTGTGTAGGTTTATAGGTTCAGGCATGTAGGTTTACAAACTACAGGTTCAGATATGTATATTTACAAACTATAGGTTCAGGTGTGTAGGTTTACAAACTACAGTTGAAGTAGAGTTCATTTGTTTCCATGATCTCGCCATATAAAGGGATAGTATGGTCAGTTATAATCCCAGCATCCCTTAGTTTCCCCAACATGAACCAGGTACCGAATAAAGCTGTGGACGTCTTACAAGGACGTCTTACAAGGACGTCTTACAGGAACGTCTTACAGTGACGTCTTAAGCACTCGAGCTTGGGATCCGAACTCGAGACTTTCGGGTAATACTAAGCTTTACGGCCTAACTACGCCGCTCCATTTCAGACATGTAGGTTTAAGTTACTGTAGAACATTCTAAACGAAAAGTTGACCATTTAAACTTAAACTACTGGACTAAGATGCTGGTGTAAAACAGTTGCTACATTGAGTTTTGTCCTAATTCATCCCGTGTCCCCAGGTTCTCGTCGTCCTACTTTGTCCTAAACCATCCCGTGTCCCCAGGTTCTCGTCGTCCTACTTCGGCAGCGCCCTCGGCTACATGGTGGACAAGATAAACGGCACCGCCGCCTCCACACAGAACCAGACTTTCTGGCAGATCAGCAGCAACGGCGCTGCTCTTAACTGTGGTAAGGTCATTCACCTTTAAAACCAACATTTAAACTTTCTAACGATTGTAAGTTTATTCAATGTGCACGTGACAAACTATACCATTTTTTTCAAAGCTAACCATATGGATCTAAATTTATCACATCATTTTCATTGAAATCTTTGGGGGTCGGCGTGGTCGAGTCGGTAAAGTTGCAAAACCGAAAAGTCCCGAGTTCGAACCCTCGGGCAGATGAGACTCGTTAGCTGGGGACAGCCACTCTTCTAGGAGAGACAACACCAAAATCAAACAACTGCTGCCCTGTAGTTTGTTCTTGGTTGAACAAAGGCTATGGAAGCAAATCCAAAAAGAAAAGCATGCTGAAATCGGATTCAATGGCCTCAATGACGCATAACCAGTTGACACGTATACTTAATTGTGCTGGAGGCGTTATCGAGTCAGCTAAGCTCGAAAAAGTCTCGAACAGATAAGGTTCGAACCCTTCCAACACTAAAAATTAAGAACGAAGAAGAAGAAGATTGAAAGCTTAGATCCATATGGTAAACATTTGAAAAATGTATGAACCTGTATGATTCACTTTTTAAAACACGCAACCTGTATGATTAACTTCTTAAAACATGAAACCTGTATGATTAAAAACGTGTAATCCCCCCACCAGGTGTCTCCACCTACTACCCCAGGAACAACGAGGTCATCCTCTTCAACTTCACCACCTACGCCAACGCCGGCCACGTGTGAGAGACAGCAGCTCACATTCTCACTGACACCATCAATGTTTTCCCCAGATCCTTTCTAACAAATTAATGAAATTACCTTTCTAAGATTACCTTTCTAAGATTACCTTTCTAGGATTACCTTTTGTATGTCACTTAATTTAAGCATAGTTGGAAATCTTCTGATCAAATATGTTTGTTTGCTTAATAAAGTTTATTTAAGATCCTCAAAACATTGTGTATTGTTTGTTTGAAGGCCAACCAGTTCTTAAACGAAAAGTATCGTGAAAATATTTTTTCATAGCGTATGTGTCATTGTATCACACCCCCCCCCCTTCAATTAACGCTATATAACATATCCTAGACCAGCACCCCACACGCTATTTCATTTTTTAGACGACCCCTCATCTCCGCAAACACACCCCCACATATCACACCACACATCCACATATCACATCACACATCCACATATAAATAACGCGGAAATACAAATGTTTAAGAATCAAATCGTTTTAGTGAAAATGTAGTTTAACATAAGAAACAAATACAACGAACTATATATATATATATATATATATATATATATATATATATATATATATATATATATATATATATATATATTACCTAGGCATACTGTATAATATACAATGGGTATAGAGGTATACCTTTTGTCCATCTTACGGAAACGGTGGGGGGGGGGGGAGAGACGACTACTAAAATTTCCCCAAAGAGATGCGTGGAAGAACACTGGTTTCATTCAGGAAACTTCTGGTGTTATTTCAAAGTGAAACGTGTCCTTGATTGAACCATGTTCGATGTAATCATCTTTACCCCATGTGGACATTGTACCTCAACCAAAAATTTCCACAATGTCCCGTCTATAGACGATTATAAATTTTACAGTCTCCCAAGACATGCTTGCGGTCTTCAGTTGTGTTTTAATTTAAACTGCGTCTTACTCAAAATGTTACCCAACTCAATCAATCTGTTGCTCTAATCTTAATTGCTTTCAATTGATTGATCCTAATTAACGCATGTTGGCTAGCTGTATATTTTTCAATTAATTGCTAATACAACTTCATACCTGTAACTTCATACCATACAGAGGTAAGTCTTTCTATTTATGAAGAGTACATCATTATATTGATAACAGTGTTTCTTTACAGTTTTTTTACGGTAAAAAGTAAAGTTTAAAAACAATTATTATGATTCTGTTGAATGTTTTTTACTTTGTAAAGTAAAGTTGTATTCCGAACCTGAGTGTCCATATGGCAGGTTAAGTAGAGTTCAACTGTTAAGTGACCTCGGCATATAAAGAGGCGTAGCGACCCTTCCTGGCGCCCGTGGACAAACTTTCAATTTGGCGACCCCCCCCCCCCCCCCAATATATTTTTTATATTTATAATGCAAAACTGCAGCTAAAATGAGCTTTTAATATTTCTTTTTCAACCCATTTTGGCGTCCCCTTAGGGTCGGCGCCCGGGGACATATGTAATCCCCTCCCCCTCGCTACGCTTCAGAGGAATAGTGTGGTCGTCACTATGCCTCAGCCAACTTTACTTTCCCTAACGCGAGCAGTGTTTCTTCCAGAATTTTTTCTCCTTGCACTTGAAATTTTCGGGGGGGGGGGGGGGGGGATAAAATTTCCGGGTGGGGGGGGGGGGGGGGGGGGACACTGTTAAAATTACATTTTTTTTCTATATAAATTACATTTCGTTCGGGGCGGTAGACTCTCTTCGGGAGGTTAGGGTTAACAGCCCCCCCCCCCCCCCCAAAAAAAAAGAGATGCCTGGAATAAACTCTGCCCCCACCCACTAAAAAAATACTTCAAGTACCCCTGGAGAAAATGGTCTGAACGTGACCTCATCACGTGACCTCAAGACCAGTCAACAGGATACACGGGGCACGGGGTCAAAGGGCGTGGGTGGATGACCTCGCACCACTAATCATATCCGGGTGGCTTGTAGCCCATCCAGAAACTTGTCGTTGTCGTTCCATTTTTTTAAGGCGGCGACCAATGTATCCTACTATACAAAACTATTCTAAACCGAAAAGTCTCGAGTTCGAACCCTCAGGCAGATGAGGCTCGTTAGCTGGGGACAGCTCTCTTCTAAGAGAGACAACTCCAAAATCAAACAACTGCTGCCTTGTAGTTTGTACTTGGTTGGAAAAAGGCTATGGAAGCAAATCCAGAAAGAAAAGCAGGCTGAAATCTGAGTCATGACAGAGTTATACAGTTATGCGTCATGAAAATATGACGCATAACTAGTTGACATGTATACTTAATTGTGTTAGAGGCGTGGTCAAGTCGGCAAAAAGCTCACGGTTGTTAAAATTAAAAAAAACTCTCGAGTTCAAACGCTCTCTCTGATAAGGCACGATCGCTTCCAATACTAAAAATTTAGAACGAAGAAGAAGAAAGACTAAACAATATACAAACATGAGAAAAACTGACACCGCCATAGTTGTCACATGTAGAACTAGTTGTCACATACATAACTAGTTGTTACATACAGAATAAGTGTCACATATAGAACTACTTGTCACAAGCAGAACAGATGTCACATAAAGAACAAGTTGTCACATATAGAACAAGTTGTCACATACAGAACAAGTGTCACATACAGAATTAGTGTCACATGCAGAACTAGTTGTCACATACAGAACTAGTGTTACATACACAACTAATTGTCACATACAGAAGAAGTTGTCACATACAGAACTAGTTGTCACTTACAGAACAAGTTATCACAAACAGAACAAGTGTCAAATACAGAATTAGTTGTCACATACAGCACTAGTTATCACATACAGAACTAGTGTCACATACAGAGCTAGTGTCATATACAGAACTAGTTGTCACTTACAGAACTAGTTGTCATTTACAGAAGAAGATGCAGGTGAGATTTTCTTGGTTATAGTTGACGACATTGTTGTACATCTGACATGATGTTGTTCACTTGTTAACTTTTTAGATGCTTTTTTTTGTGTGTTCTTTATTAGGATTTTGTCGTGACTACGTGACCAAAGTTAATTAATTGCAAATTGACTTTTGTGGACCTGTTTAACGGTAATTGTTTTTTGGTGTTTTTTGGGAGAGGGAGGGGGGGGGGGGGGGGTTGTGATTATCTTTTGAATTGATCGAATGGTTAACGTTGAACTGGTTGTGGTGAAGTATTTTGTCACAACAACCTAAATTACGCTTATTGTTTAATTTGAAAGTAGAAGAACAATATCTATAACGAGAAAAATGGCCCGTTGAGGAAGGATACAACGGGCGCTAGGCTGATAGTGCTGTCTCTTTTCTCTAAACTAAAACCAACCCACCCCCCCCCCACACACACCACCCCCACCCCCCCCACACCCCCCCCACCCCCACCCCCACACCCACACACACCACCCCAACCCCCCCCCCCACACACACACACACACCCCCACCCCCCCCACCCCCATCCCCCAAAAAACATGTCTACCGTCCCATTCAACGAAATATAATTATATACTTTTTCCAGTGTCCGCCCCCTCCCCGAAAATTCTACCCCCCGCCCCCGAAAATTTCAAGTACCCCCAACCCTCTCCGGGGAGGAAAAAGTCTGAAAGAAACACTGGTGTCGCGCTTAGCCACTACCCGAAGAATTGCATTAAAGAAATTGCAAGAAAACCACTTTTTAGATTAGACACATTAATTAGGCGGTAATTTTATATAGAGTATCGATGAAGAAATTTCTTTTGAGTTGGGGAGGGGGGGGGGGGGGCTCAGACGTTCTTACGCGGGGGGTGGGGCTTCGCCCCTACCCGAAGAATTGTATGCAAGAAACTCTTCACGCAAACCATTTAGATTAGACAAAATTTCCTTTTTATTCAATGTTTACTCGAGAATCAATGACGTCATATTACTGTGTGCACTATCCGGCTTGAGATTATTTTCTACTCTATGCTAAATGTGACCGCGTCATACTTCGTTTTTCGAATTACTATGCATGTTTTTATTTTGCTTGTGTTTTCTCTACAGCGTTCTTGTCAGACAGATAGATACATAGACAGACAGCGAAACTATTAGTATTAACGAGAAAAATGGCCCGTTGAGGAAGGGTACAACGGGCGCTAGGCTGATAGTGCTGTCTCTTTTCTCTAAACTAAAACCAACCCACCCCCCCACACACCAACCCCAACCCCCTCCCCAGCCCCACAATGTTTACTCGAGAATCAATGACGTTATATTAATGTGTGCACTATCCGGCTTGAGATTATTTTCTACTCTGTGCTAAATGTGTCGACGTCATACTTCGTTTTTCGAATTACTATGCATGTTTTTATTTTCCTTGTGTTTTCTCTAGAGCGTTCTTGTCAGATAGATAGATAGACAGACAGCGAAACTACTAGTATTAATAGGCTAGGTAGTGTGTCAGTCCGTCATTGCTATAAATTTTCGAACCGTAAAAAGTAAACATCGTACCATGCAGTGCTTTTCAGTGCATCGCAGTGTCTTACTATAAGAAGTAGAGTAGGGTTTGTTTATATAACGACATAGAGTTACTTTATAGACGCCACTGTTTTTACTCTTTTGCATAACGTAAAGAAAATATTAAATACACGCACATTCCTAAAACATATTAAAAGGATCAATATCAAATATCATTTTCCATTATATTCCTAAAAAAGTGGATACATTTTAATAACATAATAACAGTAGGGTAGAAAAATCAAATTAATTTAACTCTTTTTTTCTAATTTTGACAAGGGAGGTAATTTAAAAATAAATTAAACTCACTCTAATAAAAAAAAATGTGAATGTAAATCTACGGACGTCCTAGAAGGTATTAGTGTTGCAATAATATAATTAGCAAAATGTGAATGCAAATTATGTGGATGTGTAAGAGGAAATTATTGTTAGAAAATTATAATTAGCATGGATTGATAAAAGGCAATCTTTTATTTATTTTATTCACTGAACGTACTGTTTACTACTTATAATTTTTAATCAACTATGCCGCACTATTATAGACGCGTCGTCACGTTCATTGGGTGCGCAATTGTTTTAGTTATGAAACTCTAGGTAAAAACACGGATATTTTAAATACTGCCTATCATTTATTGTATACACTGAACGTACTGTTTACTAATTATTATTCTATCTTTCGGTTTGCGGACAAGCTGGGGGTTTTATAGTCGTTCACTGAATCAGGCACGTCCGCCGGTGCTCGGGCAGGGTGCGATTTGGCGCTACGGGCTAGACTGTGAGCACTATGCGTTTATTTTTGCATTTAAGTTGTGTTTATGTTATGTGTTTATATTTTCATTTGTATTTTTATTTGCGTTTGTTTTTTCTTTTGTGTTAGTGTGTTGAGTTTGTGTTTTTGTTTGTATCTGTATTTGCATAGTGTTTATGCTCTCTTTGTTTTCTTTTGGATTTGTGTTTTCTTTTGGGTTTGTGTTTTGTAGTTTTGAGTTGTTCTGTTCCCAAGATGGTATATTTAAAACAGTTTTACCGTGGCGGTATGCATCTACCCCACCGTAGCAAAGCATGGGTATAAGCTACACACGCTGTACGCTAAAGGAATATTCACCCCAATGCGGGGATCCGCACGCAGCGCGTAAACGCTGAGGTAATATTTATATCCACACCGTGGCGAAGCACGGGTATACGCTAGTTCTAAATAGGTTTAGACGTGGATACAATTATGTTAGAGTGCGTGGGATATTCGAATACTAGCTGTTGGCAGTTTTATTACACGCAAGCTACGATCTTAAAGAAATGGTGTTTAGGAAGTGTTCAAACGCTAGATATGATTGTCTGGTGCAAGCACTAATTACATATAAAAATAAAGTACAGAATACTTCAAACCTCAGATTTAAGTAGAGTTTGTTTCTTTGATATCATTATGCCGAGTCGTTATTACTCTCTCTTTAAAAACTGGGAAGTCTCACTATAGTTCTATTGACGCTGACAAAGGGATCCGACCTCGAGAATTATGGGCTAGCTATCGTGTGTTCTACCACTTAACCAAGCGTAATCTGAAAGCACCTATTCAACTGTGTCTGAACTGTCTGTACACTTCAGGGTTGTTTCTACAGCCAACGGGAAATTATTTTTTCTTCACAGTAAAGATGGCGGCTAAACTTCACTTTTTCGTGACGTCTCTGGCTTTCTTGACCCTTGCTGTGATGACCAGTGGTCATTGGAACAACAATCAACCCAAGTAGGTTGAGAAGATGGACATTTAGGATCAAGATTTAAGCTTGCTCTTTTAAATTAAAAAAAATCAGATATTGTATAAATGATTTCTCTATTTTTAAAACGAAATTATTTACCCAAATTTTTATAAATCTTGTATTATTTGTTACTAGACTACCCGTTATCTAGTTAGATAACTGTGGGTTTCGGGGACATAGGCGCCAAAATGGGTTGGAAAAATAAATTGAAAGCTTGAAGGGGTGCAAATCGAAAGTCTGAGGGGGGGGGGGGTGCAAATCGAAAGTTTGTCCCCGGGCGCCGGGAAGGGTCGCTACGCCTCTGTTCGGGGTCATCCATAAATGACATCACAAAATAACCAGACCCCACATTCAAAAAGATGTGAAAGAACGTACATATTTGACTATCTAAAAAAAGGGAAATAAGTCATGGAAGTGGTTTGAATGTTTTCCTATCATTCACACTACAACTCATGTAGTTTATATACTTTTTTCCTTTACGAAACAGCGAGTGTTAGCAACTGTAGAAAATCACTACTCTAGTAGATCTGTTTTTTTTACAAGAAAATTATTTTTTAACTATGAAAAAATTGATTATGGTCGGCTATGGGCCCCTAAACGGCCTGCCCCCCCCCCCCTGCCCCCCCCCCCTGCCCCCCCCCCCCCCCCCCCCCCGCATTGCCAGGTCTGGCGGCACTGTAGTTCCGCCCCTGGGTCTGAAATAGTTTAGTATATTAATTCAATATTATCTAGATCTAGGTAGTAAAAGTTATCTAGATTCTACGACTTGTTTGGTTAAGTCGAGTTTTCTCGTAGATCTAGCTAGAACCTAGATAGATAAATCACTTGTATCCTTGAATTAGATGATCCGTGAAGCTAAAACGCAAAGATTTATATCAAATATTTAAGGAATAAAAAAGTTTAATAAAGAAACTCAATAATTTATTCTGATTTTAAAATGCTTTTTAATTTTAACGAATTAATTTTGGTTTGACCCAGATTATAGATCTAAAAACAACTCCCTTCGGCATCTCATCTTTAAATTCTGATCTAGAGAAATTTATTTCATACTTAAATGAAAAGGACTGTTGAAAATTGATATAAGTGTTGGAACGTAATAAAAAAAAGCAAATGGACTTATCGTTAAAGCTGTAGCCGACAGAACATTAGCTATATAATGCGTTATAATTATTTTTGAATTAGCAGCAAAATCTTGTATTGAAGCCGCCATTATTGTTGTAAAAAGTATATAAATCATGTGACGTCACTATTCACTATATGTAAAGACATTGTAAAAATTGTTCTTTATCTAAATACTATTTTACAGCTCTACACATAATGCAAATTCTCTCGTGTAACCAAACGGACAAACAAACAAAAAAAAATATTCAAACATGTAAACAAACTTGAGTTTTGGTATTATATAGATAAATTACTGTTTAGCAAATTATATAAAACATAGTATGACATATAAACTAAATTACTTAACCTAATTGTATAAATCATGTATCAATTGTAAACTAATTTAATGATTCAGTTACTTGTATACACGTTACATAAAATGTCAACCAAATTATTTTCCCCAGCCAAAGCGAAACGAGTGTTCCCCCCTGCCTCCCAATAAAGCCTTACATCCAGGTGACGCTACAGGCCAAAAACGTATTGCAGGCGCCCAACTTTAAATACGTTGCCGTAGTAAAGCTGCTTCAACAAAACCTCTTGGGGTTTTTGGAGAAAGCGGTGGACTTAAACCAAGGTTTCAGGTGTGTAGGTTTACAAACTACAGGTTCAGGCATGTAGGTTTACACACTATAGGTTCAGACACAATATAGTTTCAGGTGTGTAGATTTACAGGTTAAGTCGTGTAGGTTTAAAAACTAAAGGTTCAGTTATGAAGATTTACAGGTTCAGGCATGTAAGTTTACAAACTACAGGTACAGATGTGTAGTTTTATAGGTTCAGAGATGTAGGTTTACAAACTACAGGTTCAGGTGTTTAAAGAATGTCAGAATACACCTGTGGGCCAAACAATCAATACGGCAGATGAAGTAGAGTTTACCTGTTTCCGTCATCTCGCCTTATACAGGGATAGTATGTTCAGTTATTTTCCCAGTAGCCGTTTCCCTAACATAAACCTCGTACCGAATGAAGCTTGGGATTCGAACCCGAGACTTTCTGGTAATGTGTACTGCGTTCTACGGCCCAACTACGCCGTCTCATTTTAGGCTGTAGGTTTACGTTACTTTAGAACATTCTAAACAAAATGTTGACCTTTAAAACATACATCGTACATTAGGTTGAAAATTGAAACGTACACAGTACATTAGATTGACCATTAAAACGTACATTGCTGGTGTAAAACTGTTGCTACATCGAGTTTTGTCCTAAACCATCTCGTTTCCCCAGGTTCTTGTCCTACTTTGTCCTAAACCATCCCGTGTCCCCAGGTTCTCGTCGTCCTACTTCGGCAGCGCCCTCGGCTACAGGGTGGACAAGATAAACGGCACCGCCGCCATACAGAACCAGACTTTCTGGCAAATCAGCAGCAACGGCACTGCACTTACACTTGGTATGGTCATTCACTTTTAAAACCTGCTTTAAAACTTTCTATAGTTATGTTCTATAACAGCATGATTTGACTCGTGTGTGATAAGATTGACATTAGTAACTGACGGTGGACTTAGACCTCACAGACGTCAAAAGCAGTCGAAGATGGAGTAAGACGGTGGATCTACATTTTAAACGTTCATTATATTGATTGTGAGTTGATACAATGTGTACGTGACAAAGTATACCATAATTCAAATGTCAACGATTCTCTGACAAAAAAAGTTTCTCGGAATAGAGGTAACAGTAAGAGTACCCCGTGTAAACGGTATATTTAACACAACATTTTCATTGAAAACTTAGATCCATATGGTTAGCTTTTGAAAAATGCACGACCAGCACGCGTCACACGCATGCTTAGAGCGTGCAATCGATATCAATAACTTATTAAAACATGCAACCTGTATGGTCAACTTCTTAAAACATGAAACCTATATAATTAACTTTTTAAAGCATGAAACCTGTATGGTCAACTTCTTAAAACATGAAACCTGTATGATTAACTTCTTAAAACATGCAACCTGTATGGTCAACTTCTTAAAACATGAAACCTGTATGATTAACTTCTTAAAACATGCAACCTGTATGGTCAACTTCTTAAAACATGCAACCTGTATGGTCAACTTCTTAAAACATAAAACCTGTATGATTAACTTCTTAAAACATGAAACCTGTACGATTAACTTCTTAAAACATGAAACTTGTATGATTAACTTCTTAAAGCATGAAACCTGTATGGTTAACTTCTTAAAACATGAAACCTGTATGATTAAAAACGTGTAATCCCCCCCACCAGGTGTCTCCACCTACTACCCCAGGAACAACGAGGTCATCCTCTTCAACTTCACCACCTACGCCAAGGCCGGCCACGTGTGAGAGACAGCAGCTCACATTCTTTCTAACATTGTCATTGTCACTGAGGTTGTCACTGTCACTGACAATGTCACTGACACCGTCAATGTTTTCCCCAGATCCTTTCTAAAAAAATTAACGAGATTACCTTTCTAAGATTACCTTTCTAGGATTACCTTTTGTATGTCACTAAATTTAAAGCATAGTTGGAAATCTTCTGTTCAAATGTTGTTGTTTTTTTTTTGCTTAATAAAGCTTATATAAGATCCTAAAAACATTGTGTATTGTTTGTTTGAAGGCCAACCAATTCCTAAACGAAAATATCGTGAAAATATTTTTTCACGAGAAAAATGGCCCGTTGAGGAAGGATACAACGGGCGCTAGGTTGATATTGCTGTCTCTTTTCTCTAAACTAAAACCACCCCCTCCCCCCCCCCACACACACACACTCCAAAACATTTCTATCGTCCCATTCAACGAAATATAATTATATACTTTTTCCAGTGTCCGCCCCCTCCCCGAAAATTCTACCCCCGCCCCCGAAAATTTTTAAGTACCCCCACCTCTCTCCGGGGAGGAAAAAGTCTGAAAGAAACACCATTGGTCGCATTTGTAGATCATACAAACTAAAGGAAGAACCTGGGCGGGGCTGTGCACTCTCCGGCTTGATATTATTTTCTTCTATATGCTAAATGTGACGTCATATTTCGTTTTCGTTTCATTGTGAAAGTTTTTAAATTGCTTGTGTTTTCTCTAGAGCGTTCTTGTCAGATAGATACATAGATACATAGATACACAGACAGCGAAACTATTAGTATTAATAGCGTTATTGTATCACACACCCTTCTCCAATTAACGCTATATAACATATCCTAGACCAGCACCCCACACGCAAGTTCATTTTATTGAGGCGTCCCCTGATCTCCCCAAACACACCCCCACATATCACACCGTACATCCACATATACATAACTTTTTTTTTACGAGGGTGGGGGGGACTAAACAGAGTTTCTTCCAGGCATCTCTACCGCCCCCCCCCACCCCCAACGAAAAGAAATGAAATGTATATAATTTATATAGAAAATATATACTTTTAACAGTGTCCGCCCCCCCCCCCCCCAGAAGAAAGTTTACCGCCCCCCCCCACCCGAAAATTTCAAGTGTCGTCCCCCCCCCCCTCGAGAAAAAAGTCTGGAAGAAACACTGGGACTAAAGTTTCCGGGAGGAGGGGGGAGGGGAGGGGGGTGGACACTGTTAAAAGTATATATTTTCTATACAAATTACATTTTGTTCGGGGGTAGCGGTAGACTTTCTTCGGAAGGTTAGGGTTAGGAGCCCACCCCCCACCCCCCTTAAAGAGAAGCCTGGAATAAACTCTCCCCCCACCCACAAAAAAATATTTTAAGTACCCCTGGAGAAAAAAGGTATGAAAGAAACAATAGTGACATCATCACGTGACCTCAAGACCAGTCAACAGGATACACGGGGCACGGGGTCAAAGGGCGTGGGCAGATGACCTCGCACCACTAATCACATCCGGGTGGTTTGTAGCCCATCCAGAAACTTGTCGTTTTCGTTCCATTTTTTAAGGCGGCGACCAATGTATAACACTATACAAACATGATAAAAACTGACACCGCCAACATTCCGGGTCGCCCCTGACACCACGTGACACAAGCTTGTCAACACGACCTGCATACCTCCGGTTTTCCACTTAATTTATGACGTCATCGGCAGGTCATACCTGGGGGACCTTGATCTTGAATACTTTTTTAAGAAAGTCACAATTACCCAACTATAAAAGCTCCGCCGGTTTCTGGGAGTTCAGTATCAAACGATCTTTTACAGAACAAGTGTCACATACAGGACAAGTTGCAGGTGAGATTATCTTGGCTATAGTTGACGAAATTGTTGTACAGCTGACTTGATGGACTCTTATTGTTCAATTGCTTATTTTTTTTTAGACGCTTTTGTTTGTTCTTTATTTGGATTTTGTCGTGACTAAAGATAATCAATTACAAATTGAGTTTTGTGGGCCTGTTTAACATTAATTGTTTGGATTGATCGAATGGTTAACTGGTTGTGAGGAAGTATTTTGTCACAACAACATAAATTACGCTTATTGTTTAATAGGTAAATAGCAGAACAAAATTCTAAATAGGTTGAGACGTGGATACAATTTATGATAGAGTGCGTGGGATATTCGAATACCAGCTGTGGACAGTTTTATTGCACGCCAGCTACGATCTTAAAGAAATGGTGTTTAGGAAGCGTTCGAACGCTAGATATAATTGTCTGGTGCAAGCACTAATTACATATAAAAATAAAGTACAGAGTACCTCAGATTTAAGTAGAGTTTCTTTGGTATATAGGCCTCATGAAGCAGAGTCGCTATTATTACTCTCTCATAAAAAGCTGGGAAGTCTCATTGTAGTTCTATTGGCGCTGGCCATGGATCCGACCTCGAGACCACTCAACCAAGCGCAATCTGAAACAACCTCTTGAACTGTGTCTGAACTGTCTATACACTTCACGGTTGTTTCTACAGCCAACGGGAAATTATTTTTTCTTCACAGTAAAGATGGCGGCTAAACTTCACTTTTTCGTGACGTCTCTGGCTTTCTTCACCCTTGCTGTGATGACCAGTGGTCATTGGAACAACAATCAACCCAAGTAGGTTGAGAAGATGGACATTTAGGATCAAGATTTAAGCTTGGTATTTTAAAAAAAAAGCTCCGAAATTGTACAAATGATGTCGCTTTTTTAAAACGAAACTATTTACCCAAATTTTTATAAATATTGAAGTATTTGTTATAAATTACTGTTTAGCAAAGTATAAAAAAAATGTATGGAATTATTTAACCAAACTGTATAAATCATGTATCAATTGTAAACTAAATCATTGATTCAGTAACTTGTATACACGTTAGATAAAATGTCAACTAAATTATTTTCCCCAGCCAATGTCAAACGAGTGTTCCCTCCTGCTTCCCTATAAAGCCTTACATCCGGGTGACGCTACAAGCCAAAAGCATCTTGCAGACGCCCACCTTTAATTACGTTGCCGTGGTTACGCTGCGTAAACAAAACCTCTTGGGGTTTTTGGAGAAAGCGGTCGACACAAACTACGGTTTCAGGTGTGTAGGTTTATAGGTTCAGGTGTGTAGGTTTATAGGTTCAGGCATGTAGGTTTACAAATGATACGTTCAGGTGAGTAGGTTTACAGGTTCAGGCATGTAGGTTTACAAGCTACAGGTTCATTAGTGTAGGTTTACAAACTATAGGTTCAGGTGTGTAGATTTACAGGTTCAGGCATGTAGGTTTACAAACTACAGGTTCAGGTGTGTAGGTTTACAAACTAGGTTTACGTTACGTTAGATACATTCTAAGCAAAAAGTTGACAATTAAAACTTACACCGTACATTAGGTTGACCATTAAAACGTCCATTGCTAGACGTAGATGCTGGTGTAAAACAGTTGCAACATTGAGTTTTGTCCTAAACCATCCCTCGTCCCCAGTTTCTCGTCGTCCTACTTTGTCCTAAACCATCCCGTGTCCCCAGGTTCTCGTCGTCCTACTTTGTCCTAAACCATCCCGTGTCCCCAGGTTCTCGTCGTCCTACTTTGTCCTAAACCATCCCGTGTCCCCAGGTTCTCGTCGTCCTACTTTGTCCTAAACCATCCCGTGTCCCCAGGTTCTCGTCGTCCTACTTTGTCCTAAACCATCCCGTGTCCCCAGGTTCTCGTCGTCCTACTTTGTCCTAAACCATCCCGTGTCCCCAGGTTCTCGTCGTCCTACTTTGTCCTCAACCATCCCGTGTCCCCAGGTTCTCGTCGTCCTACTTTGTCCTAAACCATCCCGTGTCCCCAGGTTCTCGTCGTCCTACTTTGTCCTAAACCATCCCGTGTCCCCAGGTTCTCGTCGTCCTACTTTGTCCTAAACCATCCCGTGTCCTCAGGTTCTCGTCGTCCTACTTTGTCCTAAACCATCCCGTGTCCCCAGGTTCTCGTCGTCCTACTTTGTCCTAAACCATCCCGTGTCCCCAGGTTCTCGTCGTCCTACTTTGTCCTAAACCATCCCGTGTCCCCAGGTTCTCGTCGTCCTACTTTGTCCTAAACCATCCCGTGTCCCCAGGTTCTCGTCGTCCTACTTTGTCCTAAACCATCCCGTGTCCCCAGGTTCTCGTCGTCCTACTTTGTCCTAAACCATCCCGTGTCCCCAGGTTCTCGTCGTCCTACTTTGTCCTAAACCATCCCGTGTCCCCAGGTTCTCGTCGTCCTACTTTGTCCTTAACCATCCCGTGTCCCCAGGTTCTCGTCGTCCTACTTTGTCCTAAACCATCCCGTGTCCCCAGGTTCTCGTCGTCCTACTTTGTCCTTAACCATCCCGTGTCCCCAGGTTCTCGTCGTCCTACTTTGTCCTTAACCATCCCGTGTCCCCAGGTTCTTGTCCTACTTTGTCCTAAACCATCCCGTGTCCCCAGGTTCTTGTCCTACTTTGTCCTAAACCATCCCGTGTCCCCAGGTTCTCGTCGTCCTACTTTGTCCTAAACCATCCCGTGTCCCCAGGTTCTCGTCGTCCTACTTTGTCCTAAACCATCCCGTGTCCCCAGGTTCTCGTCGTCCTACTTTGTCCTAAACCATCCCGTGTCCCCAGGTTCTCGTCGTCCTACTTTGTCCTAAACCATCCCGTGTCCCCAGGTTCTCGTCGTCCTACTTTGTCCTAAACCATCCCGTGTCCCCAGGTTCTCGTCGTCCTACTTTGTCCTTAACCATCCCGTGTCCCCAGGTTCTCGTCGTCCTACTTTGTCCTAAACCATCCCGTGTCCCCAGGTTCTCGTCGTCCTACTTTGTCCTTAACCATCCCGTGTCCCCAGGTTCTCGTCGTCCTACTTTGTCCTTAACCATCCCGTGTCCCCAGGTTCTTGTCCTACTTTGTCCTAAACCATCCCGTGTCCCCAGGTTCTTGTCCTACTTTGTCCTAAACCATCCCGTGTCCCCAGGTTCTCGTCGTCCTACTTTGTCCTAAACCATCCCGTGTCCCCAGGTTCTCGTCGTCCTACTTTGTCCTAAACCATCCCGTGTCCCCAGGTTCTCGTCGTCCTACTTTGTCCTAAACCATCCCGTGTCCCCTGGTTCTCGTCGTCCTACTTTGTCCTAAACCATCCCGTGTCCCCAGGTTCTCGTCGTCCTACTTTGTCCTAAACCATCCCGTGTCCCCAGGTTCTCGTCGTCCTACTTTGTCCTAAACCATCCCGTGT